GCCGCGAACGCGATCTCCGACAGCGAGCCGGGCTCCGAGAACGCGACGCCCCTCTTCTCCCCGCCCGCGACGCCCCGCGACAACGACCCGCCCATGGTCACGGTCGCCGAGACGGGCGACGCGGGCTCCGTCGAGCCCGACGAGGAGAAGGTGCAAGACGAGGGCGCGTCGTTCAACTCGCAGACGGCCATGGACCACGTGCCCGTCTATCTGCTCGGCGGCGTCGACAAGGTGCCGGGCCTGGGCATGCTCCTGGGGGATGCCCTGGCCCTGCTCTGCGTCGCGCGCTACGGTCTACGGGAGGACGAGCTCTGGGCGCTGCTCAAGGACCTGGACGAGGAGCGGAAGCGCGACATCGCGAACCTGGAGCGGAAGGAGGAGGAGGAGCGCGTCCAGGCCGAGTACGAGGAGTCCCAGGGCTCGTCGGGCTCCCTCGCCGCGCGGCGGTCGTCGCCGTCCGCGGCCGACGACGCACAAAAGGCGTCGTCGCCCGCGTCGAAGAAGAAGAAGGAGGAGGAGGACTTGGACGATCTGGACGATTTGGCCGCGTTCCTGAGCGCCGACGACCCCAAGCCCGAGGAGCAGGAGACGACGTTCCCGCCGGAGCTCGTCGAGGAGCTGCCGAAGATGCTCCGGGCGCTGGGGGTCCTGCACGACCCCGCGGAGCACGTGCTCGTGCTGCCCCTGGAGTCGGAGGCGCTGCGGTCCGTCGTCCACAAGCGCTACGTCGAGATCGGCGCCGCGCGCGTCAAGGCCTCGGTGGCCAAGCGCCAGGAGCTCGAGCGCGCCCAGGGCACGTGGAAGGACACGAAGTTCCGCCACGACAACGTCGGCGGCAACTGGTGGCACGCGCGCGTCGCGGCGTACTTTGCGGGGCGGCCGCCGAGCCGGCGCCGCGCCGAGGAGCTGCCCTGGCACCTCAAGCAGTGCCGCCAGTGGACGCCCTTGTGCGACTCCCTGTCGAACGTGCACACCTTCGAGACCATGTTCCTCGGGCCGCCGCAGATGAAGCTCGAGCTGCAGAACTACTGGAAGCTCCTCGTCGACGGGCCGCTGTACCTGACGACGGCCGCGGAGCAGGCGACGCACGCGGCGACGCAGGAGCTCTCGGAGTCGCAGATGATCCTGTCGAATTTAGATACGGCGCACGCGCTCGGCTTGATCGAGTCGCGGGCGAAGCGGGACCGGCTCCAGGACCAGTGCGCGACGTTCGACGTCGTCGACGCGTACACGATCGCCGTCGACAAGTGGCACGCGACGGAGCGGCCGACGACGCACCGGCTCAACGAGATGCTGTCGCAGATCGGCGAGTTTCTGATCGGGTTTTCCGAGCGCGCGGAGACGCCGCCGCCCTTTTTGCGCGGGTCCCTGGACTGGCGGCGTTTGGACGGCATCGGCGTCCAGCGGCCCAAGGTCGAGCGGCTGCTCCAGGACTCGCAGCAGGGCGGCGGCGGGCCCCCGGGCCGGTCCAAGACGTCGGCGTCGGACCGCAAGGACGACGACCTCGACCCGGAGGACGAGGGGTCCGTGGTCTCCATGTCCGCGCTCCTCGTGAACGTGCGCGGCAACGACGGCATGCACCACAACGAGAAGTCGAGCCTCTACCACTACGAGCGCTGGATCTGGATCCAGTTCCCGTGGCTGGCCCTCGCGCACGGCACGGCCATCTCCTGGACCGTGGGCCAGTCCTACGTGAAGACGACGGCGGGCGCGGGCGACGAGGCGAGCTCGCGCGCGTCGCGCGTCTCGCGCGGCGAGAACCCGGCGGGCCCGCGCGGGTCCAACGCGGGCGACGACGGCTCCCTGTACGACGACGAGATGTCCGTCGGCCTGGACGGCGCCGCGGCGGGCATGGCCATCGAGGCCGCGCGCCTCGCGATCGCGAGCTGCTCCACGGGGCCCCGGGGCCGCCGCTACTGGAACGTGAAGCGGCGGGACCCGAGCTCGTCGGTCATCGCCACCATCTCCGAGGACCGCATCAAGGCACGCGCTCTGGGCGCCAAGGAGCCCATCCGCGAGGACGGCATGCGCGCGCTCGAGCGCACGGCCGCGGGCGTCACGCTCGAGCCGCCGGGCGCGCCCCTGCGGTTGGGCGTCAAGGGCGAGGCGCCGCGGCTCCTGGACTCCGTGCGGTCCGACGGGTCCGTCTTCGGCGAGCGGGACCTGGACTCCCTCGCGGGCTCCGTCGAGGGCGACGCCGAGGGGTCCAAGCCCGCTCCTTTACCCATGCCGACGCCCGGCGGGTCGCTGGACGAGGTCATGGGCGCCGAGAGCTCCGCGGAGCGGCGCCTCGTGCGCCTCCGCCGCGTCGCGAGCCGCCTGCCGCCGCGGCGCATGCGCGTGGGCCCGACCTACGGCCAGGGCTACGGCTTGAGCCTCGAGTCCGGCTGCGGGCCCTTCTCGCAGTCGTCGCTCAAGAGCCAGCGCCGGGGCACGCGCTTCCCGAGCGCCGAGGGCCATTTGCTCTCGAAGGAGGACCCCCGCGACTCCCACGGCGTCGTCGCGTCGACGCGCTTCGGCGGCACGGAGGAGCCCAAGGATCTCGTGGCGCTCTTGCACATCCGCGAGCTCGAGAAGGTCGACGTCAACGTCGCGTCGAACTCGAAGGAGCTGGGCTTCTTGTCGGCGCACAGCTTCATCTTCCCCGCGTCGCACTACGACATCTCGCGCGCGTCCGTGCAGGCGCGCATCGCGCGCCTCCGCGGCGCCCACGACAAGCTCATCAACATCCGCAAGGACCGCAAGGCGCAGCTGAAGTCGCAGCGGCGCGCCATCGAGGACCGCGTCCGCGCGGACGAGCACTGCGCGCACCAGCTCGAGCGCGGCGAGAAGACGCTGGAGACGCTGGACCGGCGCCTCGACGCCGTGCGCGTCGCGCTGGCCGAGTCCGCGGCGCTGGGCGCCTACTACGCGGAGGTCGTCCGCGCGGCGACGGACGCGCGGCCCGTCGTCGGCTCGCAGCGCATCGAGATCGTCGAGAAGCAGCTGAACCTGGCGCGCGTCCAGGCCCAGGACCTCCTCTCGAAGCGCCGCAAGCTCCACGAGAAGTCGGAGGAGATCGGCGCGCGCGACAAGCCGCGGCACCGCCGCGAGCGGAACAAGTGGGCGGACATGCGCCAGGTCTGCCGCGACCGGGCGCGCGTCGTCACGGCGTCCATCGAGCAGCTCAAGAAGGCGACGGCGCCCGCCGGGTCCCAGGAGACGGAGGACGAGGACGGCGACCGCTTCGTGAGCTTCCACGAGACGCCCGACCGCGAGCTCACGAAGACGCAAAGATTGTTGAAGTTCAAGCACGCGTCGAAGAAGACGCACGAGGAGAAGTTGGACGACGAGAACTCGGCCGCCGAGGACCTCATGCGCCAGCTCAAATTGGCGACGGGCTCCGTGGACCCGTCGGAGATCACGCGGCGGCTCCGGACGTCCAAGCAGCTGAACCAGAGCCTGCGGGACCAGCACAAGCACAACCTGCTGCGGTCGACGCAGCTCAAGGCGTTGTTAGACGCCATGTCCCACGAGTTCAGCGAGCTGCGGCTCGGCGGCATGACGACGCGCGGCGCGGCGCCGGCGAAGGCGTCCGTCGAGTCCGATTCCACGACGGCGCCCGCGGACAAGGCCGGCGACGCGCGCAAGGACGAGGGCAAGGGCGGCGGCGAGGACCGCAGTGACAACGCGTCGCGGCGCATCGACAGCGACCTCTTCCGCGCGGAGATCCGCCTCAACCACTCGCAGCGCTACTACGAGGAGAACGCGGTCTTTGTGACCGAGGTCTCCAGCGGCATCATGCACGTCGCGCGGCTCCTCGAGGCCTACACGACGGACGCGAAGCGCGAGTCGGGCGTCGTGCGCCTCCGGCTGGACCCGGAGCTCGTGCTCGACGTCGAGCGCGGCGAGATGCCCGCGCAAGATCCGGACGCGAACCACGTGCAGCGCGCGGGCGTCGTGCGGCTGCTCACGCTCTGCGAGGAGACCATCGTCTCCGTGCGCGAGGCGCTGAGCATCCACAAGCAGATCGAGGACGAGGACGAGAGCTCGCGGCCGACGACCCCTAAGACGCCGGACTTCGCGACGGGTTTAGGCAAAAAGCCGTCGCCCAAGGACCGCATCCAGGCGACGCTCCACAACACGCTCGACTCGACGCAGCTCGTGCGGTCCGCCCACGCGACGGCCGTGCCGCCCGTGCGCGTCGTCACGGAGAAGATGCGCGAGCGCGAGATCGTCCGCGACGTCCGGAAGCGCGAGAAGAAGGACCGCGAGCAGAACGCCATCGAGTCGCGGCCCGTGAGCCGCGCCGACGAGAAGTCCGCGGCGACCTTCGTGCGCGAGGGGCTCGACACGCAGGCCGTCATGGACGCGCTCCGCCAGGCGAACATGCTCTCGAAATTGAAGCAGGGGCCCCGCGCGCCGCTGGGCCTCGCGATCAACCAGGCCATCCAGTCGTCGTCCAAGTCGGAGCAGGACAAGAAGTCGTCCGTCGTCGTCTCCAAGCCCCACCAGCTCGGCATCTCGAACCCCCACCTCAAGATCACGACGCGGGACATGATCAAGCGCCGCCAGCCCGTCTCCAAGAACTCGCCCGAGCCCCCGGGCTCCGCCGACTCGTCCTGAGGCGCTGTGTAAGAGGCTGTGGTCTTCTTTTCGGGGGCTTTGTTGTCCCATACTTGATCTGCTTGCCGGACTGTCCGGCGGACACTTCGGGGGCCCGGATGCGTCGCGCTTGGCGAGTCGCCACAAGACTCGACGAGGGCCTGATGGCGTCGTCGAGACGCGTGGTGGAGTCGGCCGACGCGGCGATTACCCGGGCGAGCGCCCCCGACGAGACCCGCGACGACGAGAGCGAAGCCGAGACGGTCTGCTCGCACGAACCCGATGCGGCCGCGATCGAGCTGCTCCCGGACGCTCTTCTCATTACAATATTGGGCTTCAGCGAAGACGCGGATCGTTTGGCACTCGTCCTCGCGTCCAAGTCGGTCGCCACGCGGCTAGGAGATGCGCGGCGAGCGATCGTCGACGGCTTGAATTCGACGGATCTGCACGCGCGGCTCAAAGCGACACAGCACCTCCGCGCGATGCTCTCATCGGTACGCGTGTTCGGATTCTTGAACCGACCGGTGCGTTTGGTCGTCGATGCGGGCGTGGTGCCGCGGCTCGTGGAGTTCCAGCAGGACGATACCGATCTCCAGAAGGAAGCCTTGTGGGTGTTGACGCAAATCGCGCTCGGCAGCGCTCAGCCGGGCGTAGCCGACGCCGTCGTCGAGGCGGGCGCCGTGCCCATGTTCTGCCGGCTGATGGGGACGGGCGACGAGCGCAGGGTTGGTCAGGTCACCTGGGCTCTATGGCTAGTTCTGAAATATTCGCCCAAGAGCCGCGATTTGATGCTCGACCACGGCGCGATGGAGGCGATCGTCCAGCAACTCCGCGAGGGCAGTGCTCAGAGCAAAAAGCGAGACTTGGTCTATGGAGCTGTGCGGCTGCTCTCGCAACTTTGCGCCGAGATTGAGCTGGAGCAAGTACGACCTGCGGTATCCGTTCTCGCGAAGCTTCTCTCTTTCCGCGACGACAATTGTCAAGTTCATTATTTCGCTTGTCTAGGGCTTGCGCACGTGAGCCATCTTGGAAGCATCGAGCGCGCGCAGACCATCATCGACGCGGGAGCTTGCCCACGTCTCGTCGAGCTTCTCGGGCACCCGTCGCTGGAGGTGGTGTCGTGCGCGCTGTTCGCTGTGGGCAACATATGCTCAACCGACGACGATAATCATGTGCAGACCATGATCGATTTGTCCGTTTTGGCCCGGCTTTATGCGCTCCTCTATCACGAAGATTTTGGCGCACAACGGGAAGCAGTCTGGATAACCGGCAACTGTTGTGCGGGCAATATGGAACAGATCCAGGCTGTTTTGGACTTTGCCGGCCTCGTCCCGCGAGTCGTCGAGCTCCTGGGCTCAGGGTCGCTCGAAGTTCGCGCGGAAGCCTCCTGGCTCATGGTTACGATATCACGAGGAGGTTTGCCCGAGCAGGTCGATGCGTTGGTCCAACATGGCTGCATCCCGGCGCTCTGCGAGCTGCTGAAAGTCGACTTAGGCTATCTCGATGACGGTGCTGTGATCGAAGAAGTCCGCGAACGCATCACGGCAAATATCTTAAGAGCGCTCAAAGCCCTCACGTACATCATCGACAGATCCGAGCGCATTCACTTGGGCACAGACCGAGTCCGTCGCATGCGAGCTGTCGCTGGTGGTGGTGCCGACGGTGCGCGCGCCTGGGTCGCGAATCTCCACGAATGGCATCCCAACAGGGATATAGTCCAAGCCGCGAGTTTCCTCCTCAGACAAATGCTGGTGCACAGAAGGGGGGTTCAAATCTAGTATCATTCGCAAACCAGCCTTAGTAACAGCAGAGCTCTTTCCTAGAGCGGGTATTCCACCGCGACGTCCTCGTCCTCCGAGTCGTCGTCCATGGGCTCGTCCAGCGGCGCCGGCATGGCGGGCTCTTCCGCCGCCGCGCAACAAGCCTCCTCCCGCGCGGGTAGTTCCGGCGCCGCGTCGGGCCGGGGCGGAAGGGCCGGGGGCGACCGCGGCGGCAGTGCCGGCGGCGGCGCCGCTTCGGGCTCGGGCTCCGCGGCCGCGGGCTCCGGCTCGGGTTCAAGTTCAGGCTCCGGCTCGGGCTCCACGGCCACGGGCTCGGGTTCAAGCTCGGGCTCCGGCTCGGGCTCGGCGACCGGCGGCTCGGGCTCAAGCTCCGCGACCGCGGGCTCGGGCTCCGGCTCGAATTCGGGCTCGGCGACGACCGCCGGCTCCGGCTCCGCCTCGAATTCCGGCTCCGCCTCGAATTCCGGCTCGGCGACGACCGCCGGCTCGGCGACGACCGCCGGCTCGAGCGGCGGCGACGGCGGCGACGGCGGCGGCGACTCGAGGCCCTTGCCCGCGGGCGTCGCGGGCGTGTCCGGCGGCGGCGGCGGCAGGTCGTCGCGCTCCGGGATCGCCGCGGCCGCGCGGAGCCGCTCCTCGAGGGGCGTCGCCTCGGGCGCCTCGAGCACGGTCTCGACGGCCCCCAGCCCCGCGGAGCACGCGTCGTGCTGGTGCGGGAGGCTCAGCTCGAGCTCGAGGAGCGCCGTCACGACGGCGCCGAGCTCGACCCAGCGGCCGTCGACGCCCGCGTCGATGGCGCGCATGGACGCCGCCGTCGCGTCCTCGTAGGCGGCCTGGGCGCGCTCCATCTTGACGGCGTTGCGCGCGTACTTCTCGTCCGCGGCGCGGCCCGCGGCCGACGGGTCCTGCGCGGCCATGCCGAGCGTCCGCGCGGCGGCCTTGCCGAGCTTCTTCTGCTCCCGGAGGCGCGTGAGGTCGCGCTTCTCCTTCTCGAGGCGCATGGGCTCGAGCTTCGTCTTGTAGTGGTCGAGCTCGCGGCGCGTCGCCTCCTGGCGCCTGAAGACCTCCGTGTGCAGCGTGCGGTCGAGCTTGGCGTGCCAGGACCCGCAGGCGGCGACGAGCCGCTCGCCGAACATGGCGGGCATGAGCGTCGTCTCGACCTCCCAGCGCGCCGCCGTCGCCGACGCCTCGTAGTCGTTGACGGGCGCCTCGAGCGGCGTGCCCGCGGCGAGGTCCTTGACGCGCGCGCAGACCTCGGCCTGGGCCGCGTAGTAGGCCCGCGCGGCGCGCTCCTGCTCCTTGAGCGCGGCCTTGAGGAACTTGATCTTCTCGAGCGTGACGTCGAGCTGGACCTTGGACGCCTCGAAGGCGACGTCCTTCGTCGCGCGCGACACGCCCGCGACCTCGGCCGCGCGGCGGCTGAAGCGCATCTTCGACATGGACTCGCTGAAGCTCGGCCGCTTCCTCCCGCCCTTCTCCGGCGACGAGTCGACGAAGTCGTCGGGCGAGTCCGGGGCCTTCCCCGGCGAGCCCGCGTCGGCCGTCGGCGTCTGCGGCGGGCCGTCGCTCAAGGGCTTCATGTCGCCCGTGGCCAGGTCCAGCTCCATCATCTGGCCCGTGTCCGAGTTGCGGATCAGCATGCGCTCCCCCTGCATCGTGGCTGGGTAAACCGTTCGTTCTCGCGCCAATGCCGGTGGTGGTGGAGGGGCTGCCCGGCTCGGACAATTAACAGAGTTCAAGCGCGACGAACTTGAACTCACGGAGCCGTGGGCGACATTTTACCTCAGCCGTGGCAGCCAATAACTAAAGCCAAGAAGAACGACCAACCGCGAGCGACAATGGCGGCCTACAACGCGAACGGCACGGTGAACGACAGCGTGCCCGTCATCGACATCTCGTCCTTCGTCTCCGACGGCGGCGCCGACGCGGGCACGAGCGCCTGCGCGGCCATCGCCGCGGCGCTCCACAGCCACGGCTGCCTCGTCGTCAAGGACCCGCGTGTCGAGGCGAGCGCCAACGAGGAGTTCCTCGACATGATGGAGCGCTACTTCGAGCAGAGCGACGGTTCCACCGACGCGCGGCCCCACCTCCACTACCAGGTCGGCGTCACTCCGTCCGAGGTCGAGAAGCCGCGCGGCCACTGCGCGTTCGGCAAGACGCTCAAGGACGTGCCCGTGAGCGAGTGCCCGCCCGTGCCCGACGCCAAGTGGCGCTTCTTCTGGCGCATCGGCGAGCGGCCCGCGGAGACGGCCTTCGAGGAGCTGAACGCGCCCGCCGTCGTGCCGGAGGCCTTCGCGGACGAGTGGAAGCCCAAGATGGACGGCTGGGGCGAGAAGCTCGTGGCGACGGCGGAGACCGTCGCGGAGATGGCGGCGCTGGGCTTCGGCCTCGAGCGCGCGGCGTTCAAGGACCGCATGGCCTGCGCGCCGCACCTGCTCGCGCCGACGGGCTCCGACCTGAAGAAGCTCGCCGAGTCGGACCCGGCGGACGACGAGGAGCCCCGGGCCAAGAAGGCGCGCATGCTCGGCCAGGCCGTCGAGCTCAACACCGTGCTCGCCGGCTTCCACTACGACCTCAACTTCCTCACGGTCCACGGCAAGAGCCGGTTCCCGGGGCTCAAGGTCTGGACGCGCGCGGGCCACGTCGTCGTCCCCAAGATCCCCCCGGGCCACCTCTTCCTCCAGGCGGGCAAGCAGTTCGAGTACCTCACGGGCGGCCACGTCCTCGCGGGCTTCCACGAGGTCATCGCGCACAAGGCCTGCGCCAAGGCCGCGCGCGACGCGAAGCGGGACGGCCGGAGCACGTGGCGCGTGTCGTCGACGTGCTTCTCCCAGATCGCCTCCGACGTCGTCCTCGAGCCGCTGGGCGCCTTCGACAGCGCCGACGCGCGCGCGGCCTACCCGCCCATCAAAACCGGCGACCAGGTCCAGGCGGAGCTCGTCGCCATCTCCCTCGGCGCGAAGAAGGAGTGAGCCGCGCGCGCGCGCGTCTTTTTAATCTGGCTGTTTTCTTAGGGTGACAGGACACCCTTCAAGGCGTTCGGACGGCGGCACAAAACTTCAAATCGACGTTGATGAGGAGTTGCACCGCTTGAATTCGAGTCGACGCCCCGCTCTCCGCGCCACAATCCCAACGATGGCTACTGCGACGGCGCCGGCGCCGGCGGAGTTCATCGGCCTGGGCAAGACGATGCCCCCGGAGAAGGAGGAGCTGCCGAACCCCATGGAGATGGAGAAGGGCATGCTCGAGGAGCTGCTGCTCGTGTGCCAGTTCGTCGGCACGCGGCGCGCCGCCGGCGACGACGACGACGCCGGCGCGTCGCCCGACGCCGAGTTCCTGCGCGGCGAGGACTGCCTCGTCTGTAGCCGGCGTCTTTGAAACACCAAATCAACCCCGTTTCTCATCCGCCAACGCCCCCGTAGGAGTGGCTCCAGGACCTGCAGCGCGCGCTCCGGCGCGACGAGGGCGAGTGCCGCGCGATCCGCGTCACGCTCGGCAAGTGGGACGTGCTGCGGTCGAAGCTGCTGCCCCTCGCCGAGGCGAGCGCCCTCGACAAGGCGTCCATGCGCACGCTCACGAAGATCTTCGTGCTGCTCACGATGCCCATGTCGGCGAAGGCGTCGACGGCGCTGACGACGTACAACGACCCGGAGGCGCAGCGGCTCCGCAAGAAGGACGGCCTCGAGAAGATGAGCAAGGGCAAGCTGAAGCTGCGCATGGCCGCCATCGAGCAGGCGAAGCTCCTCGTCGACTGCCGCGCGGCCTTCGCCGAGCGGCCCCGGGTCCTCGGGAGCCTCCTCCGGCTCTTCGACGGCCTACACAAGTCCAAGGAGCGGCGCAGCGACGTCGAGGCCATCGACGTCGAGCTCGCGCTGACGCTGATCCGCAACCTCGTGCACCCCATCCCGTCCTGCGGCGACGACTACGAGGACGCCAAGGCGTCGGCGGGCCTCGACGCGCTGACCGCGGGCCTCGGCGACGAGCTCGTGCTCGACGTGCTCTGCGAGCTCTGCAGCGGCATCCACCAGCGCGAGAACCAGCCCTGGAACCTGCTCCTCGCCGAGGTGCTCGGCCCCCTCGTGCTCCAGCACAAGCCCGGCGACGTCGCGGCCGTCGAATTCGTCGACGCCAAGAAGCGGCGGTCCGCGCTCAAGAAGCGCGAGGCCGAGGAGAACCTCTGCACGGCCATCCTCTACCGCGAGGACGACGAGGCCGCGGAGCAGGACCGGCGCAAGCGCGCCTACGACGACCGCCTCAAGCGGCCGCTCAACGGCGGCGCGCTGAGCCGGACCTTGGCCAAGGAGAAGCGCGCGCGGACGCTCGAGTCGTCGAGCCGCCACGGCCGCTTCGGCACGGTGCTCAAGGTCGCGGCGACGGGCGGCGGGCCGGACAAGTTCGTCGCCGGCACGGCCGCGCTCCGGAGCCGCGCCGCGCTCCGGGGCGAGGCCGACGGCGACGCGGCCGCGGCGCTGCGGACGGCCGCGCCGACGCGCGCGCGGCCCGTCTTCGTGCCGCCCCACAAGGTCGCCAAGGCCCGCCGGGGCGCCGGCGCGGGCAGGAAGAAGAAGAAGAAGAAGGCCGAGGGCCGGGACTCGGACACGGAGGACGAGGACGACGCGGCGCCGCACAAGGACGAGCTCTCGGACGAGGAACACGACAAGGTCGACGAGGACGAGGACTGGGTCGTGCCCCGGGCGCCGCGCGTCGACGAGGTCCTGCGCCTGGCGACGGCGACGCGCCGCGGGCCCGGCGCGGAGGCGTCGGTGCGCGCGGCGTCCGCGCTCGTGCTCAAGCTCTCGAAGCACGGCTTCGCGAAGCTGCTGGATTCCGTCAAGAACGAGCTCCGCGTCGACGGCGCGCGCCTCAACGCGCGGGACCGCCACCTCTTCTTCGCTCTGGCGGAATTCCTCCTCTGCTGGCGCCGCGAGCGCGCGGGTTTGCTGGCCAAACGGCTCCAGCAGCACGCCGCGGACGCCAAGGCCGCGAGCCGCCGGAGCGAGGCGAGCGGCGACGCCGGCGACGCCGACGGCAAAGCCGCCTACGGCGAGGGCGCCTTCTTCCCGCGGCCGCTGTTGCGCCTCTGCGACGTCTTCACGGTCAAGGCGACGCTCGAGAACGTCGAATCCGCGGTCAAGGAGAAGCGCCTCCTCGAGCTCGAGCGGTCCGCGGGCCTCTACAAGGAGCTCCTGCGGTCCCTGGAGGCGCTGAAGCACGGCGACCGCACGAGCCGCCGCGACCGCGCGGTCGTCGGCGACGCGCTCGCGGACGCCGCGGCGGAGGCGACGGACGTCAAGCTCGCGTCCGCGATGCTCGAGAAGATCTTCCTCGCCGCGGACACGGTGGACCCGCTCTACTCCATGCTCCAGGCCTGGGGCCCGGGCAAGCACACGAAGCGCTACGCGTGCGACCTCGCGGAGATCGTCCACGTGTCGCTTAAGGTCCTCGACCGCGACGACGCGGCGAACGCGGGCGACGCGGGCCTCGAGCGCTTCGACCTCGCCCAGTACCTCTACAAGCTGCTCAAGCAGCCCAACACCATGGATTTGTACGCCGCGTTACTCGAGGGCTACGCGTCGAATGCGCCGCACGTGAACCACTTTGTGTACGCGTTCCTCCGCCGCGTGGCCATGCTGCCCATCCGCGACGCGCGGGCGGGCCCCGGGTCCAAGAGCTTCCAGCTCCCGCCGACGTCGGCGGAGATCCGGACCTGCGAGCCGCTGCTCTACCGCGTCCGCTACTTCAAGGCCTTCGCGCGGTTGCTCGACGACCGCAAGGTCGGCCGCGTCGACGGCACCGTGGACCTGCTCTGCGACCTGGCCAAGTCGACGCTGCGCCACTTCGACGCCCACGCCCAGAAACACCCCATGCTCTACGTCGAGGCGCTCTTCGGCGCGGGCGGCCACCGGCCCGAGGTCTTCTGCGACAAGCTCACCTACGACTACGACGGCGCCGCGCCCGCGCGCGACGACGACGACGCCATGCCCGTCAAGAAGCTCTACGAGGACGGCGACTTCGACGACGACGCGCGCGAGTACGAGGACGACGAGGACGACGTCGACTTCGAAGCTCTGGCGGCGGCGGACGAGGCGGCCGAGGCGCGGCTCGCGGCCAAGCCCAAGGAGCCCAAGGCCAAGCGCTGGTCCCGCGCCGAGGACGCGACGCTCTGCCTCGTGCTCGCGAAGACCTACGAGCGCGAGGAGGACGCGGACCTCGCCGCGCTCGCGCGGCTGCCCGTGCTCCAGCCGCACCACGCGGACGAGAAGAAGCTCCAGACGCGGTGCCACAAGCTCGTCGACGACGCGCTGGCCAAGTTCCCCCAGCCCGACGACCTCGACGAGACGTCGAGCTGGGTCGCGGCGCTCCGGGCGTTCGCGGACGACCTCAAGTCCAAGCCCGCGCCCAAGCCCCGCGCGAAGAAGGCCAAGAAGGCCGCCGCCGAGGCGCCCGTCGAGGACGACGACGACGAGGAGCTCGTCAAGTCCGACGACGACGACGACGACGACGACGACGCGGGCCGCGGGCCCGCGGCGCCGCCGAGCCCCCGGCGGACGCGCGGCGACTCGGCCGCGGCCGCGGCCGCGGCCGCGCCGCCGCCGCCGCCGCCGCGCGACGACATGTCCGAGGACGACGCCGACGACGACGACAAGTGGAACGAGCGCCGCAAGTTCCACAAGCCCGCGGCCGAAATCCCGGAGCTCGACGACCTCGACGCGTCGCAGGGCGCGAGCCGCCTCAAGAAGCGCGCGGCCGCCGACAGCGACAGCGACGACGACCTCGACCTCGAGGTCGAGGACGCGCCCGCGCCCGCGCCCGCGCCGGACCTCGAGTCCGACTCCGACGACGAGCCGGTGCCGCCGCCGACGCACGCGAAGCGCCGGCGCGTCGCGGTCTTCGACGACGAGGACGACGAGTGAGGACGCGCGCGGAACCAAGTCCGCGCGCGCGCAGCCGCCGGTAAGGGGTGCTGACCGGCGTGGGCGGGTCATGGCAGCGCGTGGACGGGTCCGCACCGCGTCGCCCGCGACAGTTTTTTAGGCCGTCTTCACTTGCCGTTCGCTTTGATTGTCCTCGTCCCTGGCACTCGCTCTCGCGCGCGCCGGCCCGACCCCCGGCCTTCCGCGGCTGCGCGCAGCCGCAGACGCGTTGCAAGCGCGCGACGCATATCGATATGTCCCCAAAAAAGCGCAGCAAGAAGCAGAAGACGGCGCCCAAGGAGGACCCGGCCTTCGACACGGTCACCGAGGACGGCTACGGCAGCGGGCGCGACTACGCGGACTTTCGCTTCAAAGTCGGCGACGCCGTCGAGTGCCTCATGGACGCCGGCGACCATTTTTACCCGGCGACGGTCGTCAAGGTCACGGACGCGGGCCTCGACGTCGTCTACGACGACGGCTCGCGCGAGTTCGGCGTCGCGGAGCGGCTGGTCAAGGCGGCGATCAAGTGGGTCGGCGTCGAGGCGCTGATCAAGCGGCCCGACGTCGCCGAGCTCCTGAGCCGGCCCGTGCCCGAGCGGCGGCCGGCCGCGGGGCCCTACACGGCGCGGCGCGTCCGCTGCGGCGTCTGCGCGGCGTGCACCGCGACGGAGTGCGGCGAGTGCGGCCCCTGCAAGGACCGGCCGAAGAACGGCGGGCCGGGCCTCATGAAGGCCGTCTGCATCAAGCGGCGCTGCGCCAACATGGTCCTCCGCGCGCCGGGCGAGTACAGCGGGCGACCGCGGGAATGCCCGAACGAGGAGAGCGTCCTCGACCAGCTCGGCCGCTACGTGCAGATGTGCGGCGGCGACGTGTCCTGGGTCGAGGGCTGGGACGTGCGGAGCGAGGTCCGGCGCGGCGGCGCGACGGAGGGCACGTGGGACACGTACTTCTTCGACCCCCGGGGCAAGAAGTTCCGGAGCCGGGCCGAGGTCCGCCTTCGCGGCGTCCTGAACGCACCTTTTTCCTGACATCATCACTTTTCCGTCCGCAGGTCGCGCGCCACCTCAACCTCAAGCCCATCAGCACGAAGCGCGGCCTCCCCCCGGCGAAGCCCGCGGCGGCCCCGAAGCCCGCGCCGGCCCCCGCCGCGTCGTAAGGCACGCGTCGTTAGAGGTCCGTGTTGCCGTAGGCGTCGACGGCGCTGTTGGGTTTGGCGCCGGCCGAGGGGATCTCGTCGTAGCCGCCGCGGCCGGCCATCGCGCCGGCGAGCGGGTTGTGGACCTGCGTCGCCGTGAAGGACACGGGCCGGTTGGGGATGTCGACGAACTGGGCGCCGCCGACGGCCTCGCGCTTGCGGCGCTTGACGACGGCCTGGCGGATCGCGCACGCCGTGATGCCGCCGGCGACGAGCGCGATGAGGATCGCGGCCGTCGAGCTCGCGGTCGACGTCGCGCCCGACGGGAGCATGGACGGCGCGGCCGTGGCGGCGTGGTGCGACGACGGCGAACTGTGGGGCGACCGCGCGGGGGCCAGCGTCGCCACGGGCACGTCCGCGGGGCTGAGCTTGGCCCACGACTCCGGGACGCACGCGACGTCCGCGGAGCGGCTGACGACGCCGCCGCAGTCGCCGCAGTCGTCGCCGACGCACTCCGAGGGGTGGTTGCAGCGGCAGAGCGGGCAGTGCGTGACCGCGTCGAGGCCCGCGGAGTAGCTGCTCGGGAAGACTCCTTTCCCGCCGCACCGGTACTTGCCGACGTCAAAGTGCGTCTCCTTGAGCTCCGTGGACCGCGCGGGGCAGAAGGAGTCCATGTCGCCCCAGCCGACGCAGTGCTCGTGGATCTCCCGCGCGCCGCACTGCGACGGGCTCTTGCCGTCGTCGTACTCGCACTCGATGACGACGAGAGAGCCCTCCGCCGCGCAGTCGAAGGGGTTGCTCCAGGTCTCGCAGGCCGCCTCCTTGCCGTCGTCGGACTCGCCGAGGCGCACCTTGAGCGGCCGGCCGTCGTAGCAGAAGCCCGCCGTCACCGTGCTCATGGGCTCGACCTCGAGGCGCGTGGTCGGGAAGGGGCTGTAGGTGTTCACGCGCGGGTACGTCAGCGACGCCTTTTGTGGACAGCGGTTCGCGACGTGGAGCACGGGCTGGCTGTCGCCGCTGGCGCGGGCGGCGAGGCACGCCAAGAGAAAGGCGGCGCGCTCCATCGATCCAATTCGCACCATCGGCGCTCGCCGGTGGAGCTCAGGTGGATCTTGAAGAGGCAGCGTTTTTAGTTGCAGCCAGGCAGCCAGGTGCGAATATCCGATGGAGTGGCTGCCCCCTCCCCAGCCGGCGGTCGCCACCGCGCCGACGACGATCGTGGACCCCGTGACCGGGGAGGAGCTGCCGGTGCACGGCGACGACGACGCGCCGGCGACCAGCGAGACCTGCCTGCCCTGCCGCATCTCCAAGGTCCATGAACACCCGCCCCGCGCGCGCGCCACCGCGCCGCCGCCGCAGGTGCGCTGCGACAAGCAGGTGCCCTGCGGCCGCTGCCGCCGGCGCAAGGTGACCTGCATCCCGCAGACGGTGCGTCGGCGTACGCGTTCTCGCGAAACCCTCACTCCCGATTTCGCAGCGCGGCAAGCGGCGGCACCGGCGCAAGCAGTTCGCGGCCCGCGGCGACGCACCACGGCGGCGTCTCGTGTGTCTTTCTCGACTTAAACCGCGCCGCGCAGGTCGGCGAGCCCGCGTTCCGGGGCCTGCCGCTGCCCATCGCGTGGCCGCCGATCGGCGTCGGCGACCGCGCGCACGCGCGCGTCTTCGCGCCGGGCGACGCGTTCCTCCAGCCGCCGGCGGAGCCCGGCGGCGACTTCGAGGACGGCGAGGGCCGGCGCTGGACGCCCGCGGCCGCGCCGCCCGCGTGGCGCGGCGGCTTCCCGATGGGCGGCGGCCGCGTCGTCGCGCCGGCGGCCTTGGGCGAGCGGTCGCCCCACGACTGGACGCCCGTCGCCTACGCGAGCTACCTCGCGCCCCAGAACGTGCCCATCCTCCCGCCGCGGCCGTCCTTCCATTTCGCGGGCGGCGCCGCCGTCGAGCCCGTGTCGCCCATCGCGCCGCCGCGGGGCCGCGCGCCCTACCAGTTCCGCGCCGCGGCGCCGCCGGACCCGCGGCTCCGGAGGGTCGGCGCCCCGCTCGAGCCCGCGTCGCCGAAGCGCGCGGCCGTCGAGGGCGGCGGCTGGGTCGCGCCGCGCCGCTTCGCGCGGCCGCCGGAGCTCGCGCCCGCGCGGGCGCCCTGGCCTTCGCAAAGCGACGCCCTCGACGAGCCGGAGCCCCTCGAGCAGCCGCCGCTCTCCGCCGCGGGGCCCCACCGCATCGTCCACGGCGTCCTGGGCCTCGCGAAAGCGCCGACCTTCGACCGCGGCCGCGCGGTCGCGGCGCTGCGCCACCTCGCGGACGCGGCCCTCGCGGGCCGGCGGCCGTCGCTGCTCCAGCACGTGCTCTACCTCCACGAGGCCCTCGGCGCGCCCTTCGACGCGGACGCGGCCGTCGACGCCGCGATGTCGCCGTCGACGCCCGCGGCGCCGCCGCCGCGGGCGGGCGCGCCGCCCTTCCCGCCGACGGTCCACGGCGTGTCGACGCGCGCGTGCCCCGTGCTCGCCATGACCGTGGCGCGGGGCCGCCTCGTGGGCTGCGAGGCCAACGACGTCTTCAAGGCGAACGTCGCCGCGTCGATCCTCGACGACGACTCCGTCTTCGACGTGCTCGAGAAGCTCGTCGACGCCGACGACCTGCCGCGCTTCTACGACGCCCTCGCGGCGCTCTACGGCGGCGCGCGCGAGGTCACGCCCCTGCTGCGCTGCTCGCCGGACGTCCAGCACAACGTCGGCTGGCTCGCGTACGAGGCGCGGCCCGCCGCGACGCGCGTCCGCGTGCGCCTCGACCTCGCCGACGGCGGCGCCGCCGCGACCTACGCGCTCTGCATGCTTCCCGCGAAGCTCGCCGCGCCGCCGCCGGAGGCGCCGGAGCCGTGGGGGGGGGCGCGGGCGTGAGGTGGCTATATTTTAGTGACTCTAGTCTGCGCGTCAGGATGCTTGCGCGTCGAGTTCCGCGAGCGCAGACGCGGCTTTCTCGTGGCCCTTCGCGGCCGCGCGCGCGTACCAGCGCCGGGCCTCTTCGAGATCGACGTCGACACCCTCGCCATTCTCGTAGTAGATTCCCAGATTGAACTCCGCTGATGTATGTCCTCTGTCTGCTGCCAGCTTGCAGTAGCGAAAGGATTCCCGGTAACTCGAAGGACCTTCGTCGTAGAGCATGCAAGATAAGTTGAATTGCGCTCGTGCATAGCCACGGTCCGCTGCCATTCGATACAGCTGCGTAGCCTTCTTCTTGTTGACTTTGACGCCGTCGGACTCGGACCCATGTTCAAGTAATTTACCTAGACTGTACATCGAGTGCGAATCCCCGAGCTCCACACCACGCTTGAAGATTTTCGCGGCCTTCTTGAGGTTTTTCAGAATTCCATAAAAGCCGTGGCGGTACGCCTGACCGAGATGGTTAATCGCCTCTGGCATCTCGTTCTCCACGTGGCGACGAAGCCGAGCCAGTCCCTCCGCGTCGTTCTTCGGCACGGGCGCCCGACACACAGGACACGTCGGCTCGTCGTTTCTGTCGTCACATGATCTGCAGATCAGCCGTGCGCAGCAGGTTACAAACGCATTGGAAGCATTCACGTCCCATTCCTCCAAGCATATCGGGCACCGCGACCCGAACCGCGCCGACACCGGCTCCGGCTCCGGGTTCGCCTCGCGCCGCAGACGAGCGGCCTCGTGCTCCGCGGCGATGCGGGCCCGGATTTCGTCGGCGTGCGACCGCGGCGCGGGGCCGTAGAAGACCTCCCGCGGGGGCGACGCGGGCGTCGGGGCCTCCGCCCGCGCCGCCTCCGCCGCGCGCTCGTTCCGGATCTTCTTACACGCCGTGCGGTGGCCGCGGTCGCGCCAGTCGATTCTTTGACATTCAACGGTGCAATACTGCGTGGTTTCGCACGGGCAATTGAGTTTCGCTTTTGCGCCGCAGATGGTACAGGTCAAACGCAGCTTCAGGGCTTTCGCCCGAGCCTTGACCTTCTCGAACTCCTTCTGCTTTTTTTGCCAGTCGGGGACGTCCATATCGAATTTGTGGCGCTTCGGGGAGACTGAGAAGCGGCGTCGCGGGTCGCGAATGTAGCGGGCGCGTGGCCAATCGCGTGCGCGACGCCCTGTACGAGTCGCGCTAGAGATTTTGCCTCAAGGATTTTGCTTTTTGCTGCCGATCTCAAATCTGCCACAACGCTGCTAGAGCTCTCCAAGTCCTCGACGGCGAATGGCGAGGCCCAGACGCACGTTCCTTGGCGAGGACGCCGGGACATGGAAAATCATCCTGATGGTCTGGGCCACCACATTTGTGCTCACGGTCCTCTACGAAGAGACCATGCTCGCGCGACGCGCGGAGCAGGAGCTCCTCGCCCGGCAGGTCACGCTCCGCTCGGCGACGACGACGACGGCGCGACGGGAACCGGCGCTCGCGGCGGAGCGGTCGGTGCCGCGCGCGCGACCGGTCGTTGCGCCTGCGAACGCGTCGAGCCTCGCGGCGTCGCTCCGCGAAGAGCTCGCCGCCGCGGGCGCGCTCGCGCGCGAAGAGTTCGCCGCCGCGGGAGCGCTCGCCCGAAAGGACCTCGCCGCGGTCGAGGAGGCGGCCGCGGCCGCGGGCGCGATGGCCCGCGGCGACCTCGCGGCCGCGAGCGACCTGGCCCGGCGGGAGGTCGTCGCCGCGTCGAGCTACGCCGGCCCCTTGCTCGCCCTCGTGGACATGCTCCTCGCCGCCGGCGCAACCGCCGCGCTTTTCTACACGATCTGGCGGTGCGCGGGCGCCGCCGGCGACGACGCCGCGACGGACGGCCGCAAGGCCCACACGATCTGACCGCCGCGTTCGACTTCGCCTATAACTCGCAGACACCTAAACGCCGCGTTCGACTTCGCCTATACTAACTCGCAGAAGACGCCTAAAACTTTACTACTCCTCCTCCTCGGGCAGGGGCAGGAAGTACTTGAACGCGGCGGCGATGTCCGCGTCGCGGTCCGCGTCCAAAAGGCGGGAGATGTTGAGCTCGAGGCGCCGGGCGTCGATGATGCGCTGGTCGTACATGCGGAGCTGCTTGAGCACGGTGCCGAAGACCTGCGCGCCGACGGCGGCCCGGAGCTCCTGGAGGAAGCCGAGCGCGTTCGCCTCGTCCTGGAGCTGGAGCCGCGACGACCGCCGCGCGCCCGCCGTCGCCTCGGCGCCGCCGTCGCGGTCGACGACGACGCGGAAGTAGCGCGCGACGATCTCCGCGCGCGTCTTGTGCGGGAGCGCCGCGCGGAGCGCCGCCACGTCGTCGCCGTGCGCCGCGACGGCCCGCGTGAACGCGTCGACGTCGTCGGAGTCCCAGGGCGGCGCCCCCGCGAGGGTCGACCGCTCCGCGGCGACGCGGAGCAGGGCGCCATCGCCGTCGTAGCCGCACTCGTAGAAGACGCGGAGCAAAGCGGCGTCGTCGCCGGTCGACGCGCCGCCGGACCCGGGGGCGCCGACCATGCCGCGCGCGCGCCGCAGGAACGCGGCGACGTCGTCGGGGGCCACGTGCGCCGCGGGGGCCCAGAGCTTCTCCTCGCCGGGGGCGGCGGGCGCGGCGCCGGCGGGGGGCGACGCCTCGTGCGGCGGGAGCACGGCCTGGTAGACGTCGCCGACGCGGATCGTCCCGTGCTCGGGGTCGACGAGCATGGTCGCCGGTCGTTGCCGGTCGAAGGTCGTCGCGCGAGGGTCGATCTCCGGGGCGACGCGTTTGGCTTCGGGTCGCTTGATCGGACTCGGCTCGGGGATGATGCACGGCTTCGAGCAGTTCCACGCTTCAGCAGCCCGCAACGAAGGACGATGGCGTTCGATGCCAGCTCACGAACGCCGGCGCGGCGAATGACGGCCGCGATCATCATCTTCGCGCTCGCGCCCACGATCGCGCTGAGCCCGAGCGCCGCGCCCACAATCACGCCAACACCACCGGCGCTCTCCCCGGCACCGACGGCGACCCGCGCGCCCAGCCACGCCCCGACGACGCGCCACCCGTTCTGGGCCCCCTTCGACGCCCGCGACGCGCCGACGCCGGCGCCGACCCTGGAGCTGACGCCCGCGCCGAGCGCGTTCGCCAACTCGTCCGCGGCGCCGACGGCCGGCCTCGGCTGCGCGCCCAAGTGGCTCGGCGTCTGCCGCGTGTCCACGGCGCGGGGCGAGGACGTCGACGGCGAGTGCTGCGCGCGCGAGGAGGTGGCGTCCTGCGCCGAGGGCTTCCGCTACGACCGCGACCAGGCGTCGAAGTCGTGCGGGAAAGTTCGCTGCGCGCGGCAGACGTGCTGCGTCTACTGCCTCCCGGGCCAGCCCTGCCCGCGCCACAGCGACAAATACGGCGACGACGCGCGCTGCTCCGACATCGTCGGCTTCGTGCTGCTGGTCGTCGTGCTCATGATCGGGCTGTGCTTCTGCGCGTTCGCCTTCGGCTGCACCGTTGCGACGTCGTCCTGGCGGCGGCCGCCGGGCCACCGCGTCGCGCTGGAGCAGGTCCTCGTGGGCGACCCGGCGCCGCGGCCCGTCGTCGTCGAGGGCCGCGGCCTCGACAGCGAGGTCGAGATGGCGGGCGCGGTCGTCGTCGCCGACGACGACGCGCGCGACGAGGCGCCCGTCGCCCGCGCGACCTTCGTCCCCGCGGCCGCCCACGTCGTCAAGATCTCGTAAGGGGCGGACCCGAGGAACGAGGGGGGTTCTTGTGGGGGGCCGCGGGGAGACGTGCGGGGAGCGTGCGGGCGGCTGCGCGTGGCCTGCGCGTCAACATCAACTCAGAGCACACAACAGTGCCTCTCGCCTTGTGGCAATCGCGCGCGGCCGATCAAAGCTTGTGAACGTCGAGCGGCGCCCCGCGCCGCGCGACGAAGCGACGATGGGCACCCGCGTCCACAACCTCGAGGCGGAGCTGTTCAAGCGGGAGAAGGGCCCGCTGGGGTCCAAGTGGGCTAGAAAGCTCGTCGTCGTCGACGGCGCGAAGCGCACGATTCGCTACCACAAGCCCAACGAGGACAAGCGCAAGACGCCGCGGAAGATCTTTCGCCTCGCGAACATGTCCCTCGTGCCCAGCGCGTCGGGCCCGAAGAACGCGCCGGCGGCCTTCGCGCTCACGTGCTCGGAGACGGGCTACGCGCTCGTGCTCGCGTGCGAGCTCGGCGCGGAGCAGCACCGCGCGTGGTGCACGCTGCTCGCGCCGCTCTGCGCCGGCGGGAGCAAGATGCCGCCGCCGCCGGGCGCGCCCGCCGTCGCGCCGCCGCCGGCCGTCGCCGCGGCGACGCCGCCGAAGCCCGAACCGCCGCGGCGGGCCGCGCCGCACGAGGATTTGAGCTTGTTGGCGTCGCGGTTCCCGGGCCTCGACGCGGCGGCCGTCGGCCGCGCCTACGAGTCGACGCACGGCGACGTCGACAAGGCGACGCGCGTGTTGGCGTCCCTCGAGGCCGCGCCGAAGGACGCGCCGCCGCCCCCCAAAACGGTGGACGTGGAAGCGACGTTTCTCGAGGGCGAGCCGCTCGGCATCCAGCTGCGCCTCCTGCCGTCCGTCGACGGGTCGCGGAAGATTGTGGTATTGACGGTGAAGCCGACGTGCCCCGCGCGCGACGTAGTCGCGCCGGGCGACGCGCTCACGGGCATCCGCGGCGAGCCCATCGAGACGCCGACGGCCGAGAGCTTCCGGCTCGTGACGACGCGCCTCGCGCGCGCGGCGCGGCCGCTGACGCTCACGTTCTCGCGCCTCGTGGACCACGACGACGCCGAGGCCGAGGAGCGGCTCGAGTCGAAGTACGGCGCGGAGGCGCCGACGGCCGACGAGGACGACCTCTCCGAGTCGTCGGGCGAGGAGGACGACGACGACGACGAGGAGGACGAAGAAGAAGAGGAGGAGTCGGAGGACGACCCGGACCAGTGCGGGTCCTTCGGCGAGGACGAGGAGACGAAGGACGCGGCGTCGGCGCTGGACCGCACGCAGGAGCTCGAGCTGCTCGAGGCGACGTTCCGCGCCGCGCCTCTCGGCTTCAAGCTCGTGCTCGCGCGCTACGCGTCGGGCCGCCTCGCGCTGCAGCTCAACGAGATCGGCGGCGACTGCGGCTGCTTCAAGCAGTTGCAGGTCTTCGACGAGGTCACGCACGTCGACGGCGCCGCGCTGCCGGCGGACGCGGCGGCCGCGTTCCGCGAGGCGTCCGGGCGGCTGAGCGACGCCGTCGCGCGCGGCGCCTTTCCGTTGACGCTGTCGCTGGCGCGGCGGCCGTCGGTGCTGTCCGTCGACTTCGACGACGAGAAGCCGCTGGGTTTGCTGTTACGGCTGACGTCCGCGTCCGGGCGCCGCGCGGTCGTCGTGCACCAGGTCCGGGGCGACGACGGCGCGCCCGCGGCCGCGCTGCAGCCCAACGACGACCAGCTCGTCGCCGTCCACGGGCGGCTGCTGCCCCGGGACTGCACGAAGGAGGTCTTCGAGGACATGATGAAGGCGCTGAAGAAGGCGCCGCGGCCGCTGCGGCTCACGTTCTGGCGCGCGTCGTTGGGCGGCGCGGACGTGCTGTCGGGCGAGGCCGTCGAGGAGGAGGCGCTGCTCGAGACCATGGACGGGTCCGTCCAGGATTCCCTGGACGCCGCGGCGGCGGCCCAGGACTCGCTCCAGGACATCGCCCAGGGCATCGCCAAGGCCGAGCGCCTCGCGACGGAGGCGCGCGCCGCCGAGGCCGTCCGCGGCGCGGCGGACGAGTACGACGACATGCACCACCAGGACGGCGCGACGCCCCTCGGCCGGCCGGGCGCGGCGAGCGACGGCGAGGCCGAGGCGAGCGACGACGACGCGGGGGAGCCGGAGGAGCCGGAGGAGGAGGCTCCCGAGGACGAGGCGCCCGAGGAGCCGGAGGAGGCGCCGGAGGAGGACTCCCCGGAAAAGGCGCCGGAGGAGGAAGCGCCCGTGGAGCCCGCGAGCAAGCTCGGCGCCTTCCTCGCGCAGACGCCGGCGAACGACGGGTCCGCGGCGCCGTCGAAGCTCTCGGCGTTCCTCGCGGCCGCGCCCGCGCCCGCGCCCGAGCCGGAGCCCGAACCCGAGGAGCCCGCCGCCGTCGAGGCGCCCGCGGAGCCCGTCGAGGAGCCCGCGGGCAAGAGCCTGCTCGAGCGCGCGCGCGCGGTCGCCGCCGCCGAGGAGGCCGCGCCCGCGCCCGCGCCGCCGCCCGCGGCGGCGCCGGCGGAGAACAAGCTCGCGGCCTTTGTGGCCGCGACGCCAAAGGCGGAGGAGCCGACGCCCCGGGCGCTGACGCGCAAGTCCATGAGCAAGCTCGCGGCCTTCGTCGCCGGCGTCGACCCGCCGGCGGACGACCCGGAGCCCGCGGCGCCCGCGCCCGCGCCCGAGCCCGAGCCGCCGGCGCCCGCGCCGGCGAGCGCGGACCCGTGCCGGTCCTCCGGCGGCATCAAGGAGCGGCTCGCGGCCATCGAGGCGCGGGAGCAGGCGGCCTTCTCCGCGCCGCCGCCGGCGAGCGAGCCCCGGGCCGTGGGCAGGCTCCGGCCGGCAAAGGACGAGCCGTCGGACGACGAGGCGGCGCCGCCGCCGCCCGAGGCGGCCGCGCCGGCGCCGCCGCCGCCGCCGGCCGAGCCCGAGCCGTCGCCCATGGTCGAGCTCGGGAAGCGCGCCCTCGACCGGCTCCAGAGCCGCGGCGAGGAGCCGTCGACGGCGCTCGAGATGGAGGCGCTCCGCGCGGAGCTCGAGCGGTCGACGCGCGAGCTCGCGCGGGCCAAGGAGGAGAAGGACAACGTCGCCCGCGAGCTCGAGGAGGTCGCCGAGGACGCGCGCCACTACCGGAGCCGCCTCGGCGAGGCGGAGCGCGCGTCGCGCGCGTCCGTCGACGCCGCGCGCGCGGAGGAGCGCGCGTCGACGCGCGCGCGCGACGAGCTGGCGAGTGTCCTCGAGCGCGAGCGCGAGGAGGCCGCCGCGGCGCGGGCGACGGCCAAGATCGCCGAGGAGGCGAAGGCGCGGCTCGAGGCCGACGCGACGGCGCGCGAGGCCCGGCTCGTCGCCGAACTCGACGCGGCGCGCGAGTGTCGGGCGGCGGCGGCGCCGCCGCCGGTCGAGGACGGCGCCGCGGCGGCGCTCGTGGACCGCTACGTCGCGGGCGAGCTCGCCGGCGTGGACCTGGCCCACGCGGCGCTCTGCGTCGCGGCGCCGCCGAGCCGCGCGGCGCTGACGCGCGCGTGCCTCGCGCGCGCGCCGAGCGCGAGCGCGGGCCGCTGGTGCGCGCCGGACGCCTGCGGCGCGGCGCTCGCCGCGCTGGGCCCCGGCGACGCCGAGGACGAGGCCGGCGCGGCGCCCGGGTCGTGGGTCGACGCGCTCGACGCGGTGACGACGTGGTGCGCCGCGCGGTCCTTCCCCGTGCTCCGGGGCACGCCGCTCCTCGTGGCGCTCTTCGACGCGTTGGCGGGCGTCGCGCCGCCGGCGGCCTTCCTCGCCTGGCGCCGCGGCGCCGCGGACCGGTCGACGGCCAAGGGCGACCTCCGCGCGGACGTCGCGTCCGTGGCCCTGCGGCACACGGACGCCTGGTTCGACCGCCCCATCGAGGCGCCCGTGCTGTCGCCGCCGGCCAAGGCGCTGCCCTGGACCTTCGGGTCCGCGACGGGCGCGCGGACCGTCGCGGTGCCGCTCGGCTTGGACGACGCGGAGCAGTTCGCGTCGCCGCTGTCGCCGCGGCCCGCGGACGACGGCGAGCTCGAGCTCGCCGGCGAGCTCGCCTACGCCTGCGGCGCCGGCGCGCCTCTGGATAGACGCGGCGCGGCGCTCGCCAAGGTCGCCGCGTCCGCGGCGCCGCGGCCGCGCGGCGCGCGCGTGCTCAGCGCGCTCCTCCGGAACCTGCCCGCGGCCGTCGTCTTCGACGCCGACGCGCCCTGGGCGGCCCCGGGCGCCGCCGGCGCGGCGCTCGAGGCGCTGCTCGAGTTCGACGTCGCGGAGCAGGCCGCGGCCGTCGGGGCCGTCGTCGCGCACTTCCGCGTCCACGGGAGAGCCGCGTGCCTCAACGACGCGCTGCGCAAGCTCGTCGATTTAGATGTGCTCGAGTCGAGCGGGCTCGCGGCCTGGCGCGCGGCGGCGCTCGAGGCCCGCGACGGCCCGCCGGGCCCGCGGTCCGCGGCGGCGGCCGACGCGCTGCAGGCGACGGAGCGGCTCTTCGACTGGCTCGACGGGCGCGACGACGAGGACCTCGACGACGACGTCGACGACGACGAGGAGGAAGACCACGGGAGCGTCGCCGAGGCGCCGCGCGCGCCCCTGGACGCGTCGCCCGCGGCCGAGAGCGAGAGCGAGGACGGCTACGCGACGGCAAGGAACCGCGCCGTGGAGACGGACGACGACGGCTTCCCCCGGCTCCCGCCGTCGTCGGGCCCGGCGCGCACGCCCCGGAGCCGGCGGCCGCCGCGGTCCGACGACGAGCTGCTCAAGACGGCGACGGCCGCGCGCGACGAGGCCAAGACGGCGCACGACGAGGCCGCGGACGCGACGGCGCGCGCCGAGCGCGCGGAGCGGTGCGCGCGCGACGCCGCGGCGGCGTCCGAGGCGACGGCGGCGCGGCTCGAGGCCATGGTCGCGGAGCGCGGCGCCCACTCCGAGGCGCTGCGCCTCGACCGCGACGCGTACGTGGCGTCGTTGGAGGCGCGGCTCCGCGCCGCCGAGGCGAAGATGGCCGCGCCGCCGCCGCCGCCGCCGGCGGAGCCCGAGGAGGAGACGCCCGAGGAGGTCGCGGAGCTGCCCGCGGACGTGATGCCCGCGGACGCGGCCGACGAGCCCGCGGCGCCGCCCTCCGACGACGACACGACGGCCGAGCATCCGCCCGAGGCGTCGGGCTCGCCGCGGGCCCGGGTCCTCGGCCTGCCGGCGTCGGCCCAGCCCAAGCTCCGCGAGCGCTTCCTGCGGCTGCTCTGCGCGGCGTCGGGCGCGCTGCTCGAGGACGACGACTGCCTCGTGCGCGTGGCCGTCGAGCACGCGTACGAGGGCGCGCGCGGAAGAGTGAGGGTGGAAGTGGCGAACGCGTCCTCGTCCCCGATCCGCGACCTCCGCGTCGACGTCTTCGCCGACGACGGCCGCGACGCCGGCGAGGCGCCGAAGTTGAGCGTGGGCATCACGACGGACGGCGGCGGCGCGGCCGAGCTCGCGCCCGGCGCGCGCGTCGTCGCGCGCGTCTCCGCGACGTGCCGGAGCCCCTTCGTCGTGCCCCCCGAGCTCGCCGTGCGCTTCGAGACGCGCGACGCGGCCGGCGAGGTCACGCGCCACGCCTACGCGCTGCGGTTGCCCGTCGCGGCGACGTGCTTCGCGGCGCCGGACGGCTTCAACGCGCGCGACGTCAAGGCGTTCCGCGCGCGCTGGGACGACGTCGGCGCCGTCGGCGGCACGGAGCACCAGATCGTCGTGTCGTCGCGGTCCCCCGTCGACGACAAGATGCTCGACGACCTGCGCACGCGCGTCGTCGCGGACGCGCTCAAGGGCGCGCCCGTGAAGCACGCGGACGTGTCGCCGTTCACGATCACGGCCGCGTCCGTCGTCCACGCGACGTCGGGGCCCGTGGACGTGCTGCTGCGCCTCGAGGCCAACGCCGCCGCGCGCGCCTTCCGCATCACCGTGCGCTCGCCGTCGCCGGACGCGGCCGCGGCCTTCAAGAACGTGCTCCAGGCCCTGCTGACCTCCTACTACATCATGTGAGATGAGGGGTCCCCTTTTTGTGATAAGCGCACCGTTCCTTGAGCTCCAGTTACGTGCGACGAAGGGTTCGAAGCGCGCGCGTCTAGGGGAAGAGCGCGGCGGCGTCGACGGGCGCCGCGTTCGTGCGCTTGGGGACGGCCTTGAGCGCCGCGAGGAGCTTGATGAGGGTCTTGACCGCGCCGTGGAGATCGCCGAAGGCCGCGGCCTCGCCCGTGGCGCCGAGGTTCGTCGCGGGGCCGCCGACGCCGTAGGTCGCCGCGTTCGGGAGCGCGGCGGCGACGGCCGCCGCGAGCGGGAGGTGCGCGGGCGCCGGCGCGAACGCCGCGGGCCGCTGGGCCTTGGCGGCCCGGGCGAGCTTGTCGAGGAAGGGCTTCGCGATGGGCGACAGGAAGCCCGCGCGCGCGTCGTCCACCGTCGCGGCGACGGTCGCGCCGAGCAGCGGCGTCGCGACCGCGCGCTCGAGCGCGGCGACGGCCGGCGCGGCGGGGAGCAGCGGCGGGAGGTACGCGGCGACCGTCGCCGCCGCGGACTCGACGTCGCCGTCCTGGCGCACGACGGACACGCCCGGCTGGAGGCAGAGGTCCGCCGGCGGCGCGGGCGGCGCGCCGAAGGCCGCGAGGTCCGCGGCCGCGACGCCGGCCATCGCGGCCTCGAAGGCCGTGCCGGCCGGGAAGCGCGGGATGTCCGCGTCCTTGGCGGCCGCGACCGCCGCGGCGAGGACGGCGCACGCGTCGACGTGGGGGCCCGGCGGCGCGCCGGGCTTCGACGGCCCGGCGCCGCGCGACGCCTCCAGGCGCAGCGTCGCGAGGCCCCGGCAGCCGAAGGCGACGCCGAAGGCGTCCGGCGCGACGGCCGCGAGCGACTCCCGGCTCGTCGACCAAAGCGTAGTCGACGGACGCGCCGTAGGTCGCGCGGAGGAAGGCGCCGAGCGCGTTCTCGTCGCCGCGCGCCAGGCAGACTTCGACGTTCGCCGCTTTGACGTCCGCGGCGCCGAGCGCGGCCGCGGCCTCGAGCATGGCGACCGCGCCGGCCTTGCCGCAGGCGCCCGCGGCGACGACGGACTCGTTCGCGACCGCGGCGTCGAAGGCCTCGGGCCAGGCGACCTGTGTGGAATTCAAATCTTCAACCCGACTTCAATGTGCGCATATGCGACGGTTTCGACGCAAGCTCTTCGGCTGTGCTTCGAGAATCCGACGAGAGCAATCGATTCGTCCAAAAATCAGCCGAATCGACTTCGATTTGATCGAGCTAGAGAATTCTGAAGTTTGGTCAGGACCACCCAAACCAGTGGTTGAATTCCACACAGCAGGCGACGGGCGCGCCGACGGCGTAGTCGCCGACGAGCAGCACCGTCGGCAGCGCCGGGTCGCGCTCGCGCGCGGCCGCGGTGACGAAGCCGCCGCGGACGTCGACGGCGGCCATCTTGCGGAGCTGGGCTTGGTGGCAGAGCAGTCGCGCGGCGTCGTCGCAGGCCGACGACCCGACGACGGACGGCACCTTGCAGAGCGCGACGAGGTCGTCGCGCGTCTCCCCTTCGCGCGCGGCGGCCGCCGCGAGCGCCGCGCCCGCGACGTCGCTCGACGTCTCCGGGAGCCGCTTCATCAACTCCGCGAGATACGTCACCTATAAATTCATCGGGACTCGGAAACGGAACTCTCGCGTCGGACGCCGGGCGCGCGCCATGCCCTGCTCCTCCTTCCACAGGTCCGCGTCGTCGCCGTCGAGCAGGACGGGCACGCCGTACTTGTCCGCGGCGTCGTCGAACGCGGTCTTGAAGTTGTGCGTCGCGACCGCCGACGGCTCGTAGGGCGACCCCTCCGCGTCGACGTCGTGCAGGATCGCGAGGAACGCGCGGCCGCCCTTGAACGAGTCCTTGAGGTTGCGGACCTCCACGTCCGGGTTCTTCGCGGTGCGCTTCTGCGCCCAGCGCAACAGTTTCTTCTTGAGCGCGCTCACGTCGTCGACGCCGCCGAGGTCCCGCGCGGTGAAGAAGACGATGAGCGACCAGAGCAGGCCGAGGATGAGCGTCTCGTTGCCGTCGGCGACGTCCGCGGGGCCGATGCCCGTGATCTTCGTCGTCTGGTTGATGTAGCGGAAGACGATGGACAGGTTCGACACGTGGTCGATGCGCGTCTCCGCCTTCTTCAAAGGCGCCTTCTTCTTGATCTTGCCGATGGGCGCGAGCGACTGGCCCGACAGCTCCTCGAGGAGCGCGTAGAGAATGCGCCCGTCCTTCAGGTCCTCGAAGATGTTCGTCACGGGGCTAATGTCGCGGTCCATGAGTTTCGCGTTGACGAAATTCGTAAAAAGTTTGCGCTGGCGCTTGAGCCACTTGGGTTCGCCGGTGAGCGGGTCCTGGCCGAGGGCCTCGCGCATGGCGCGCGTTTCCTCGGGGCGGACGGTCATTTTGAGGTGGGGTTTTCGGGGTTGTTATCCCAGGGGGGCTAGACTGGTATCTTCGCGAGTTCGAGAAGCTTTAGGTGGCCTCCGTGTTCGATCGCGAGCGACGCCGAGAGCAGTTGCGGCGCGCCCTCCGCTCGATTTGATTTCTCCACACACTGGATCGGCGATCACTCTCTCCGGAGAGCTCCGAGAGGCAATATTGCATTGCGTCCACTGGCGCCTCCCGCCTGTGAGACCCTCTGAGCTCCCGTCCCCCGCGGTTCCTCCCGGGCCCCCTACGTTTAGAGACGCGTCAAGGCAATATTGCATTGGGGTCATGGAGGCCGAGCACGCGACGAGCTCCGACGGCGAGGGGGATGGTTCGAGTGTGAATATGGATGAATTCAGGGAAAGTATTCGCGTGGACCGTCAGAATTTCTATTGCGATTGGTGCATGATGGTCATCCGCAGCAGCGACGACTGGAATGCGAAGGCGCTCGACGAGCATTTCGAGCGCGAAGAAGGTAAAGACGACGACGAGCGCCACGACCCGAACTATAGCTCTGAGCAATTCGAGGGCATCACGCCGCTCCACATCGCGGCGATGGAGGGCCCCGCGTCCTGCGTCGCGGTGCTGCTCAATCACGGCGCGCGCCACGACGTCCGGTGCTACCACGGACGCACGCCGTTGCTCTACGCGGCGCTCAACGGCTGCTTCGACGAGTCGGTCCTGCTCCTCAAGGCCGGCGCGGACGTCCACGCCCACGACGACCACGGAGACGTGCCGTTCGCGTGGGCCGCGCGATACGGACGCCCGGCCACGGCGAAGCTCCTCCTCCGGCACGGCGCGTCGCTCGACGACTTCGACGGCAACGTCTACGACCCCTTCACGGACAACTCTCCCGCGGCGCAGCACCACCGGGAATGCATGGGCGATATTCGCGCGCTCGTCGAGGGCGTCGGCGCCGCCGGGAGCTACCGCGAGTACGAGCTCCGGGCCCGCGTGCGGCTCCTCGCGCTCCTCGAGCTCTGCGCCGCGGGCCGCGCGACCCCCGGCTCGCGGTGCCCCGAGGTCCTCCGGCGCCTCTTCCCCGCGCCGGCGACGTCGGGCGGCGCCGCGCGCGGGCGGACCCGCGCGGCCCGTTTCGCGCACAGCGCCGCGGTCAACGCGCTCCCGAAGGCGCTCCTCTGGGAGGTCCTCGCCTTCTGGCGGAACTTTTAGCTCCTCGGCCGCGACCTGGCAGCCTGGCATTCTCGGACGCGCAGGAGCTACGAAGCTTTTCTTAGATAACTCACCGCCGCCTCTTCTTCTTCTCGGCCCCGGGCGCCGCGCCGGCGGATTTCCGCTTCGCGGGCGCGGCGGCGGGTTTCCGCGCGGCGGGTTTCGTCCGCTTCGCGGGCGCGGCGGGTTTCCGCGCGGCGGCGGGCGCCGGCGCCGGCGGCGCGGGGCGCGCCTCCGCGGGCCGCGACGCCGGGGGCGAGTCGAGGCGCAGCGCGAGGCCTACGCGGAAGAGGCGCCACGCGATGACGTCGCCGACGGTCCGGGACGGCGGCGTGGGTTCCAAATATCTCCCACCGTCCATAAATCTCGCCTCGGCGCCCTGCACGCGCAACATCAGCGGCGCGGGCCCCGCGTAGGCGGCGTAGGACTCCGTCGGAGAGTCGCGCTCGCCCAGGAGGCACGCGAGCGCGTAGGCGGCCGCGTCCGGGAGCGCGGCGGCGAAGGCGTCGCCGTTCGAGCCCGACCGCGCGATGGCGCGCGGGTACATCCGCGACCGACCGAGGCTCCGCGCGCGCGCGACGCAGCGCTCGACGGCGGCGGCGGCGAACGCGCGGCGCTCGGCGTCGTCGCGCCACGTCTCGCCCGTGCGGAAGTCGAAGATGATCGCATTGATCCTTTCAAATAGTCTAAACATGGCAGCGCGCGCGCGAGGCAGGCAGCTGCGGCCGAAACGGCGATGCGGCAGCGTTCTGATCAGAGCGCAGGGACTGCCCGGTCGCGGCGCGGCGATGGATTTGTGTTTCAGGCACGATGCAAACTTGGAAGCACTGGAGCGAGGCGAGACGCGGCGCAGCAGCTCCTAGCCCGCCACTAGCAGCGCCCACCGCTCATCGAAAACCCAAGCTTCTCGGCAGCTCAGATCCACCTCGTTTAGCTCTGCAACCAAGATCGAGCATTTGCCGCATTCCGGTCGACCCTGGCCACAGGATGAGCCGTAGCTGGTGTGGATGTAAATGCGGCCCTTCCGATGAATTGAGGTTGCCCACATTACTGAGTCAGCCACAACAGCATCAAAAGTAACCTGTACTTCCAGGCTGAACGAAACCGCAGAGGAGGATGGGGGCAGCCTAGAGCAGATCTCTGGAGTAGCCGGATGGGCGCGGGCGCCTCCCTGACCTTTGGCGGCGGGACGCTGAGCGAGCTCGACGCGAAGCAGCAGATCGGCGTGTGCTACGACCTCGACGCCGAGGCCGTGTTCCACACCTACGCGGTCAGCGACGACGGCGTGCTCGTCGTGCCCTACGAGCGCTGCGCCGCCTTCGCTGCCCAGACGAAGCTTCTGGACGGGCGCGTCCTGTTCTGGAACCTGGCCCAGCTCAAGCGGGCGCGCGCGGGGCTCGAGGAAGCCTACGCGGCCTGCTGCCCGCGGCACCTCTGCGGCGCCGTGGAGGAGACGCGGCCCGCGTCGCCCGCGCGCGACCCGCGGTCGCCGCGGTCGCCGCGGCGCGCGGCCTTCGTCGATGAAGGCCCGCGCCAGCGCGCGGCGACGGGCGGCGTCGCGACGACCTGGGACCAGGTCGCCTTCGTCGCGGGCTTCGCGCGCGTCGCGCTGGAGGCCAAGGTGTCGCGCGCCTTGACCGCGTGCGGCGTCGACGGCGCGTCGTTCCGCTGCGCGGCGCTCAAGGGCGGCGAGCGCGCGCGGCGCAAGGCGGAAGCGGACTACCGCGGCTGCGTCTGCGACCTCCTCGACGTCGCGCGCGGCGAGGTCGTCTGCGACGACGAGGCGGCCATGGTCGCGGCCGTCGCGGCGCTCCGCGGCGCCGCGGACGTCGCCGTCGCGCGCGTCAAGAATTTTTGCGCCCGCCCGCTCTTCAACGGCCACCGCGGCCTGCTCGTCACCGTCGCCGTCGACTGCGACGCGGCCGGGGGCCGGTCCGCGACGCACTACTGCGAGGTCGCCGTCGTCCACCGGGATCTGAAGGCCGCGGAGCTCCGGCACGGGTCGCGCGCGGCCTACGAGTTCTTCCGCGCCTACTTTCGCGCGCCGCGGGCCGCCGCGGCGCGGCGCCTCGACGCCCTGCTCGCGCTGCCCGTCGAGGCCGCGGGCTCCGTCGGCGACCTCGTCGACCGGTTGCTGGAGGAGGACACGGACGTCGACCGCCTCCGCGACGTCGTCGCGCTGCTCGAGACGCTCGACGAGCTCGCCTGCGCGCTCCGCGTCCGCGAGCGCGTGCTCGAGCTGCTCCGCGCGGGCGGCGGCGACGCGCGGAAGCTCGAGGACGCGGCGCTGGGCATCGCGGGCGAGCTCGAGAAGCTCGGCTTCGCCTACGCGCTGCGCCGCGCCTACGCGGACGCCGCGCCCTTGGTGGCGCGCGCCGTGGCCATCAAGGAGGCGCACCGCGGCGCCTTCGACGTCACCGTCGCCGCGCCGGCGCTCCAGCTCAGCGGCATCCGCTACAAGCAGGGCCGCTACGGCGACAGCGAGGATTTGGCGCGGCGCGCGCTCCGCATCTACGAGGACGAGTACGGGTGCGACCACGCCTTCGCGATCCCCGCGCTCCGGCGCCTCGCGCTCGCGCTCGAGCGCCGCGCGACCTACGCCGAGGCCGCGGACGTCGCCGGCCGCCTCCTGGCGTCCCAGGAGCGGCAGCTCGGCAAATGGCACCTCGACGTCGCGGCGACGCTCGAGCTGCTCTCGACGCTCGAGGCGACGATGGGCCGCCACGAGGCCGCGGTGCCGCGCGCGGAGCGCGAGCTCGCGCTGAAAGAGAAGGTCCTCGGCGGGGACCACCCGACGACGGCGGCCTGCCGCCTGCGCGCGGCGACGCTCGCCATGGCCGCGGGCGGCCGCGACGGCGCCGCGGCGGCGTCGCTGGAGCGGGCCGCGCGCGACCTCGAGGACGGGCTCGGCGCCGGCCACGCGCTCGTCGGCGACGCGCTCGTCGCGCTCGGCGAGCTCCACGAGCGGGCCGCGCGCTGGGCGGACGCCGAGGCGTGCTTCGAGCGCGCGCTCGCCGCGCGCGAGGCGCACTTCGGCCCGGAGTCGCCGCCCGCCGCGGCCCTGCTCGCGTCGCTCGCGGCCGTGCGATGCCGCCACGACGGCGACCGCCGGCGGGCCGCGCCGCTCTACGAGCGGCTCCTCGCGCTCGGGGAGGCCCGGCTCGGGCCGTCGCACCCGCGGCTCGACGTGCCCCTCATGAATTTCGCCGCGGCCTACGAGGACCTGCGGCGCTACGACGACGCGGAGCGGCTCTACCGCCGCGCGCTCGCGCTCCGCGAGGCGCGCGCGGGCGGCGCGCCGTCGCCGGACGTCGCGTCGGCGCTCAACGGCGTCGCGGCGGCGCTCCGATGCCGGGGGCGCCTCGACGACGCCGAGGCGCTCTTCGCGCGGTCGCTCGCGATCACGGCCGCCGCGAACGCGGCCGAGGACCCGCCGCCGGGCGCGTCGTCGCCGCGGAGCGCCGTCGCCGCGCCGCTCCGGGGTCTGGCCGCGAATCTCGCGGACCGGGGCGCCTACGGCGACGCGGAGGCCCTGCTGCGCCGCGCGCTCAAGTTCGACGAGATGGAGCACGGCGCGGACCACCCGGACACGGTGCCCGCGCTGAGCGCGCTCGTCGACGCGCTCCTGGACCGCGCGCGGTACCGCGACGCCGAGCCCTACGCGCAGCGCATCCTCGCGATCCGCGAGCGCCGCGCGCCGGGCTCCCGGGACGTCGCCGTCGCCCTGAACCGCCTCGCCGTCGTCCTCAAGCTCCAGCGCAAGCACGACGCCGCCGACGCGCTCTACGCGCGCTGCTGCGACATTCTGGAAACCCGCGTCGGCGCGAACAGCCCCGCGTACGCGGCGGCCGTCGCGAACCGCGCGTCGCTCAAGCGCGCGACGGGCGACTTCGACGGCGCGGGCGCCCTCTACGGCGAGGCGCTGCGCATCTTCGTCGGCGCGCTCGGCGAGGACCACCCGAACGTCGCGGTGACGCGGCGGCACCTCGCGGACAACGCGAAGCTCAGGACGGGCCTCGCGCCGCGCGACGCCGCCGGCGCGTCCCCCCGCGGCGTCGATCGGACGAGCTCCTAACGCCGGCGGCACGCGTTCTGCCGGTTCGGTTCCGCGGACGCTGATTCCGAGACGTGCCCCGCGCACGCCAAGCGCAGCGTCGGAAGGGGCGGGAGCGCGCATGTCGCGGCCGCGGCCTCGTCGCCGACGTCGTTCGGGTCCCGGAGCGAGAGCCGCCGCGGGAGCAGCGCGCGCCAGAGCTCGGCGAGCTCGTCGGGCGTGCGGTGGCGGGCGCCCGGCGGCGCGCGCAGGTCGACGACCTCGGAGACGTACGCGGTCCCGAGCGGCGCGAGCGGCGACGCCGTGAAGTGGAGCGAGTCGTAGCCGAGCTTCCGCCCGAGCTCTACCAGAAAGCCGTCGTAGTGGTCCGGCAGCACGAAGCGGTCCCGGCACTTGAGCCAGGGCTCGCAGGCCGCGCGGCCCATCCGCCGGACGGCCTCGAGCCAGCGCGTCGCGTTGCCGCCGTCGCAGCGGAGCCGCGCGGCCCGGCAGGGCGCGGCCACGTTCCGGCGCGCCGCCTCCTCGAGGAGCGCGACGGCCATGGCGTTCTTGTAGGGCGCCGACAACGTGAGACCGGCGTCGTAGAATATTCCCGTGCCGCGCTGAACCGAGAACCAGACGCCGGGCCCGCTGTCGAAGTAGTCGCGCCAGCTGGTCACGGGGCCGACGCGCTCCTTGCCGTCGTAGGCCCAGCGCGACACCTCGAGGAACGTGCGCGACCGCCGCGGCGCGGCCGCGAAGAGCGACCGGACGCAGTCGCGCGGCCGCGTCGGCGGCGGCAGCCGGTCCACGCGCGCGAGCTCGCCGAGGAACCAGCCGTCGGCGCAGTCGTGCGTCGCGGGGCTCATGACGCGGCCGTGCGCGGGCGCACCGCGGGCGTAGATGATGTCGATGATCTCGTCCCAGTACCGCATCGCCGTCGCGTTGGTCCACGGTGTTGTTGGGTAGACGCGCCGGAGGTAGTCGACGATGGCCTGCGGCTCCGCGGCGGCGAGGCCGAAGAGGAGCAGCAGCGATTGCCTGCGCCTCATCAACCTATGCGCAGCCCATCACACGGGAATCCATCAACGACGGGGGAAACTAACTTCAACTAAACGACGTCCTTATCGGGCCCGGCGCCGGCGTCCGCGTCGTCGAAGTGCGCCCGTCCCTCGTGCTGCCGCGCCGTGCGGCCCGCGACGGAGGACCGCTTCTGTCGCTTCGACATCTCGACCGCGGCGCCTCGGGCGGACCCGCGCGGCGAGAAGGCCGAGAGGCGCGCCTTCGAGAAGGGCGAGCGCCGCGCGTCGACCGGGGCGGCCTTCGCCGGCGCCGGCGCGGCGGCCGGTTTCGCGAGGCGCGCGCTCGCGGTCGCGAAGGACTTGAGGCCGACGACGAAGGCGACGCGGAGCGCGACGAAGACGAAGAAGAGGGAGAGGAGCACGAGGACGAGGCGCGGGATGACGCCGATGCGGGGCTCGAGCGCGATCGCGATCGCCGTCGCCGCGCCCCAGACGAAGAGCACGAGCTCCTCGAAGAGCGCCTGCTGGAGCTCGCTCGGGAGCACGATGACGAAGGAGATGAGGAAGATGGCCACCTCCGTCGGCAGCGACGGCCGCCACCCCTCGTCCGCGAGCGCGCCCGCCACGGGCGCCGCCGCCGCGCCCCGCTCCTCCAGGCGCGCCTCGCCGAGGCAGTGCCGGCCGATGGCCGTGTGCCGGAGCTCGTCGTGCCACGAGGCCACGAAGAACGTCGACAGCGACGGCAGCCTCGTCTCGAAGGGGAAGCGGCGGATCGCCGTCGGATCCGCGAATTGCGCGTAGTGCTCCTTGAGCAGGCCCGGCAGCAGCACGCTGAAGAAGGCGACGAAGAGCGTCTCGATGACGCCGTAGAACAACACAAACGTCAGGCAGAGCTCCAGGAGGAACAGCCGCGTCGCGGGGTTGCCGACGCCCGACGCGTAGGACGCGAGGTAGTAGGCCGCGGCGGCGACGAGGGCCGCCGCCGCGACCCAGGCGACGAGATAGGCGCCGAGGGACGGCGGCAGCTTCGACGCCTCGTCGTCGTCGGCGTTGCGCTGGATCGACCGATCGTAGATGAGCTGCTCGGGCCGCGCCCACGCGGCGACGCGCTCGAACTCGTAGAGCTTCGCCGCTCGGAGCGCGACCGTGTCCTCGTCCGTCTTCCCGACGAGCGCCGCGAGGTCGTCGTCCCACGCCGCCGCGAGCTCGATGTGGGCTCGCACGACCTTCGTCGCCTCGAGGACAAAGGCCGCGCGGTCGTCGCGCCAGCGCCAGCGCCGCCGGAGCGCGCGCCGCAGGTCGACGAGCTGCGCGGCCAGCGCCGGGTCCGCCGCCGCCGCGATGGCCGCGTCGAGCTCCCCGCAGCGCGCGACGACGGCGTCGGCGACCGCGGGGCCGACGCGCGCGGCCTCGCCGTCGATCTCCGCGCGGTCGCCTGTGTGGAAACCAAATCTTCAACCCGACTTCAATGTGAGCGTATTCGAATGTTTTGACACAAGCTCTTCGGCTGGGCTTCGAGAGCTCGACAAGAACAATCGATTCGTCCAAAAATCAGCCGAATCGACTTCGATTTGACCGAGCTAGCGAATTTCAAAGTTTGGCCCCGACGTCCCAGCTCACTGGTTGATTTCCACACAGCCTGTCGCGCGCCGCGCGCCGGCCGCGCGTGAGCGACACCCAGAAGATCGCCAGCGTCGACGCGACGCCGTAGGCGTTCTCGCTCGTGCCGCCGACGCGGCGGCGCGCGACGACGGCGTCGCCGGGGACCTCGAAGCGTCTCCGCCGCGCGCCCTCGGGCCGCTCCGGCGGCGCGTCGCCGCAGCAGTGCCAGCGCAGCGCCGCGGGGTAGGGCGCGGCGAGGTAGCGGTCGAAGAGCACGCCGAAGGCCTGGATGACGGGCACGAGCAGCCCCAGCGCGATCGCGAGGCAGACCGTGGACGCGACGGAGCTGACGTCGTCGACGTCGGGCTCGTGGAACGCGCACGAGCGGCCGCACGCGTCCCAGACGCAGGCGTCGCGCCGGGCGTGGAACGGCGTCTGCCGGTCGAGGCAGGCGCGCTCCGTGCGGAACCCGTCGCAGCCCGGGTCCGGGAACTCCAGGGAGTTGCCGAGCGCGATGCCCGCGGCGAAGAAGAGGAGCTCGCAGCCCAGCTTCAGGATGCGCGCGCGCCGGGAGACGACCTCGCCCCGCACGCAGACGATGTTCACGAGCGGGTGGCTCCGCTCGAGGGCCCGGAACAGCGCGTCGAGGGGCTTGCGCTGCTCGAAGATGTGGCGGTGCCGCTGGCCGTGCATGTACGAGCGCTGGTCGACGTCGAGCCCCGCGGCGCTGTGCGACCGCGCGCGCACCGGCGGCACGAGGCGCGCGTAGACGTCCGTCAGGGCCGCCGCGACGACGCAGGCCGCGAAGAGGGCCGCGAGGGCGACGAGCATGACGCGCGACCGCCGCGCGTCGACGGGCGCCGCGAAGACCGCCGCGTAGGCGAGCGCGTCCTCGGCGTCCGCCGCGCGCGCGCCGAAGTCGTAGGGCGCGTCGAGGCTCATGCGGCACGCGCAGGCGCCGTCGACCCAGGCGCACGCGTCGTCGACCCAGGCGCCGCCTCGCAGCGCGACGCACGCGGCCTCCGTGCCGCCGCAGCCGAGCGTCACGACCGACGGCGACCCGTCGCAGGCCGCGGCGACGACGCGGCCGTCGGGGCACGTGTGGTTCACGGCGCCGAGGAAGCCGCAGGGGCACGTCGCGTTCGCCGCGTCGACGATCGCGGGGCCGAACGTCGCGTTGTACGCGATGCGCACGGTGATCGCCGCGGACGACGGCGTTGGCGCGGTCGGCGCGGGGGAGGTCGGCGCGGGGGACGGCTTGAGAGCGATCGGCGCGGGGGACGGTTCCGCGGAGCTCGGCGCGGCCGTCGCCGCGCCGCCCCGGCCCAAGACGTGGAGGTGGACCTCGTCGGCGACGTCGTCGTCGCCGACGTCGATCTTCGCGGCGACGACGTCGACGGTCGCGCCGGCGCCGGCGACGGCGTCCGGGAGCGTCACGGTGGACCCGCGGACCGCGACGTCGCGGGCGCCCGTCGCGTTGCGCGAGAGGCGCCGGGCCGCGACGGCGACGTTCTTCGACGCCGCCTCGATGGCATCCTCGCCCGCGACGGCCCCGACGAGGCTCGCGGCGCCGACGGCGTCGGCGACGGCCGCGGCGTCGCCGCGCTTGTCGCCGCCGTCGTCGAGCCGCCGCCGCCGCGCGTAGAGGCCCGAGTCGAGGACGTCGGAGACCGCGGCGACGACGGAGCCGGCGCTCGTCGGCGCGAAGCCGACGTCCCCCGAGGCGACGGCGAGGTCGAGCGCCGCCGCGAGCGCGCTCGCCGCGTCGTCCGCCGCGAGCGCGGCGGCGTCGCGCGTCGCCGCCGCGAGCGCGGCCGCGGCCTGCTCGACGAGGGGCGGCTCGCCGTCGATGGCCGCGACGACGCCCGCGACGGCGCCCACGAGCGCGCCGGACACGGCGCCGGCGCCGGCGAGCGACGCGGCGGCGACGACGGCGCGGCACGCGGCCTCGGGCGCGGCGAGCGCCGCGGCCTCGGCGAGGAGCCGGTCCGTGGCGTTTTGCAGGGCGCCACCGCCGTCGAGGGCCGCGACGTCGACGGCGTGGGACGCCTCGCCCGCGCCGCCGAGCGCGTCGACGGCGGCGGCGACGACGGCGACGCGGCCCGCCGGGAGCGCCGCGGCCGCGAGCGCCGCGCTCGCCGTCGCCGCGCGGAGCGTCGTCCGCGCGCCGTCCACTTCCGCGTAGAACGCGTAGGCCAGCGGCGGGTCCTCCGTCGCCCAGAGGCTCGTGGACGCGTCGAAGGCCGTCTCCAGCGCGACGCCCGAGGCCGGCGCGACGGCGACGACGCCGCTCGTCGGCGGCGCGGCGGCGACGAACGCGACGGCCGCGGACCCCGTCGCGCCGGCGGCGGTCGCCGAGAGCGCGAAGCGGTAGGCCGCGCCGGCGACGAGGCTCCCCGCGGGGAGCGCGAGGTCGTGGCTCGCGGCGTCGAAATACGACGCCGCGAGGCGCGTCGTCGCCCAGCCGCCGGGGCCCCGGCCGCCGGCGAGCGCGCCGGAGACGAGGGCCCAGGTCGCGTCGAACGCGCCCGCGGCCTCCGCGGACCCCGCGAGCACGACGCGCGCCGACGACGCGACGCGCGGCGCGGGCGCGGCCGCGGCCACCGCGGGCGGGTCGTCGGCGACGGCTGTATAAGTTGCGCGCGCCGCCGCGGCGCGGCCGTCGGCCGCCGAGACGACGACGGCGAACGCGTACGTCCCCGGCGGGAGCGCGCCCGGCGGCACGACGACGGTCTCGTTCGCGGGGAGCGCGAGGCCGCAGGCGCCGCAGGTCCAGTTGAAGGCGAGGCCCGCGGCGGCGCCCGCCGCGCGCTCGACGTCGCCGTCGCGGCTCGCCGCCGCGGACGCGACGAAGCCGCGCGCGGCGGAGACGACGCGGTCGCCGCCGGCGATGTCCGCGACGACGGCGGACCGCGGCACGGAGATCGCGACGACCGCGGACGCCGTCGCCGCCGCGAGGGCGTCGCGCGCCGTCACCGCGAGCGCGTAGGTCGCGCCCGCGTCGAGCGCGTAGGCCGGCAGAGGAAGCGGCGCGCGTCGCGCGACGTCGACGCGAGGCCCGTGTCGTCGCCGGCGGCGTCGCGGAGCGTCCACGCGTAGGTCACGCCCCGCTCCGCGACGGCGCGGCCGTCGCAGGCCGTCGCGATGGCCGCCGCGGCGACGTCGAGGCCCTCGGCGCGCGGCGCGACGACGTCGACGCCGCCCGCGACGGCGAGCGTCGGGGCCTCGTCGGCGGTGAGCGCGACGGGGAAGGCCGCGGACGCGGCCGTCGCGCCGAGGAAGTTCGTCAGCGTCGCGACGACGTCGACGAACGCGACGCCCGCGGCCGCGAGGGCCTCGAGGTCCGCCGCCTCGAGGCGGAAGAGCCCGTCGCCGGCCTCGGTCGCGCGCGCGGCGGCCGCGGCGAGCGCCGGCGCGGGCGCCGCCGGCCGCGGCGCCGCGGTCCAGTTGTAGGCCGCGAAGGGCCGCCCGCCGCTGCCCAGGGATTCCAGCGCGGAGAGCTCGAGGCCCCCGCAGACCGACGCCGTCGACGGCCCGGAGACGACGGCCGCGGGCGCGGCGGCCGCCGCGGGCGCGGCGGCTTCCACCGTCGCGGTCGCGGCGGGCTCGTAGCACTCGCAGCGGACTCCGGCGCAGGCGCGCCGCAGGACGCCGCCGCGGAGCGCCACGGCGCCGCCGGGTAGGACCGCGGCGTCGGCGACGGCCGCCGCGAGCGTCGCGGCGTCGGTCCACGCGCAGGCCGCGGCGCCGGCGCCGGCGAAGTCGACGACGTCCGCGCAGGGCACCGCGGCGCCGGCGACGGCGCCGGCGAGGTCCGTCGGCGCGTCGAAGGACACCGTCAGCGTCGCGCCCGAGGACGAGAAGGCGCGGCGCCGGCGGCGCCGGGAGGCCCTCGACGCCGTCGCAGGGCCCGAGCGTCGGCGCCGCGGTCGTCGGGGCCGGCGTGGGTTCCGAGGTCGCGCTCGGCCGGGCGACGGCGCGCGGCTGGGCGCGGGCGCGGGCGCGAAAGAGGGCGCCGGCGACGGCTCGGGTCGCGGCAGCGCGCTCGGCGACGCGGAGGGATTCGCGCTGGGATTCGCGGGAGCGTCCGGGTCGTCGGCGTCGCCGCAGTCGTTCTCGTACCAGGCGACCGTGTCGTCGTTCTCGGACGCCGACAACGCGTCGATGTCGCCGTCGCCGTCGACGTCGATGGCGTAGACGGAGCGAGCAGCGTTCGCCGAGTCGGTGATGACGCGCTTGGTGAAGGACTCGGAACCGTCGTTCTCGTACCACGCGATCGTGTCGTCGGTGTGGGACGCCGACAGCGCGTCGACGTCGCCGTCGCCGTCGACGTCGATCGCGTAGACGGAGCGGGCGCTGTCCGCCGAGTCGGCGATGACGCGCTGAGTGAAGGACTGCGACGCGTCGTTCTCGTACCACGCGACCACGTGGTCGTAAACGGAAGCCGACAGCGCATCCACGTCACCGTCCCCGTCGACGTCGATCGCGAAGACGGCGCGGGGGTTGTTGGGTGTGCCGACGACGCGCTCGGTGAAGGACTGCGACCCGTCGTTCTCGTACCACGCGACCGTGTTATCGGTAGCGGACGCGGACAGCGCGTCCACGTCGCCGTCGCCGTCGACGTCGATGGCGAAGACGGAGAAGACGTAGTATGCCGTGCTAGAGATGATGCGCTCCGTAGAGAGCCGGGACCCGTCGTTCTCGTACCACGAGACCGTGTCGTCTTGGGCGGACGCCGAGAGCACGTCCACGTCGCCGTCGCCGTCGACGTCGATCGCGAAGACAGAGAGGGCGTTATCAGCCAGATTCGTGATGATGCACAATGTGAAGGACTCGGATCCGTCGTTCTCGTACCACGCGACGGTGTCGTCTCCGTAGGAGGCCGACAGCGCGTCAACGTCGCCGTCGCCGTCCACGTCGATCGCAAAGACGGAGTGGGCCTCATCCGCCGAGTTGGTGATGACGCGCTGAGTGAAGGACTGGGACCCGTCGTTCTCGTACCACGCGACCGTGTCGTCTTGATGGACCGCGGACAGCGCGTCGACGTCGCCGTCGCCGTCGACGTCGATCGCGAAGACGGAATTCGCTTCCCCCGCGAGCGTCGTGATGATTCGCTCGGCGAAGGATACGCTGGCGCAGTTGTTGGTGGGCCGCGGCGTCGGCGCGTGCGCGGCGCAGTCGTTCTCGTACCACGCGACCGTGTCGTCGTCGATCGACGCCGAGAGGACGTCGACGTCGCCGTCGCCGTCGACGTCGATCGCGAAGACGCAGATGGCGCCGTTCGCGAGCGTCGTGATGACGCGCTGCGTGAAGGACTGGGACCCGTCGTTCTCGTACCACGCGACCGTGTCGTCGTAGACGGACGCCGACAGCACGTCGACGTCGCCGTCGCCGTCGAGGTCGATCGCAAAGACGCCGAGAGCGGCGTCCGCGAGCGTCGTGATGACGCGCTCGGCGAAGGACTGGGACCCGTCGTTCTCGTACCACGCGACCGTGTCGTCGTTGAAAGACGCGGAGAGCGCGTCGACGTCGCCGTCGCCGTCGACGTCGATCGCGAAGACAGAGCGGGCGCTGTCCGCCGCGTCAGTGATGACGCGCTCCGTGAAGGACTGGGACCCGTCGTTCTCGTACCACGCGACCGTGTCGTCGTAGACGGACGCCGACAGCACGTCGACGTCGCCGTCGCCGTCGACGTCGATCGCGAAGATGGAGGAGACGCCGTCCGCCGTGCTAGAGATGATGCGCTCCGTGAAGGACTGGGACCCGTCGTTCTCGTGCCACGCGACCGTGTCGTCGTTCATCGACGCCGACAGCACGTCGACATCGCCGTCGCCGTCGACGTCGATCGCGAAGACGGAGGAGGCAAAGTCCGCCGCGTCGGCAACGATGTGATCCGTGAAGGACTGGGACCCGTCGTTCTCGAACCACTCGATCGTGTCGTCGCTTACGGAGGTCGATTCGTCCGGCGCCAGCACATCGACGTCGCCGTCGCCGTCGACGTCGATCGCGAAGACGAACGTGGCTTCGTCCGCCGTGTCGGAGATGATGCGCTCCGTGAAGGACTGGGACCCGTCGTTCTCGTACCACGCGACCGTGTCGTCGATGTAGGAGGCCGATAGGACGTCGACGTCGCCGTCGCCGTCGGCGTCGATCGCGAAGACGAAGATGGCGTAGTCCGCCGTGTCGGTGATGACGTGCTCCGTGAAGGACTGGGACCCGTCGTTCTCGTACCACGCGACGGTGTCGTCTTCGTAGGACGCCGACAGCACGTCTACGTCGCCGTCGCCGTCGACGTCGATCGCGAAGACGGTGGCGACGCCGTCCGCCTTGCTAGAGAGGACGCTCGTGGTGAAGGTCCGCGCCGAGGAGAAGCCAAACGAAGACCAGAAGTTGTCGTACCAGGCGACCGTGTCGTCCTCTCTGGAGCCCGAAAGCACGTCGACGTCGCCGTCGCCGTCGACGTCGATCGCGAAGACGGAGTCGGCGCCGTCCGCCGTGTTAGAGATGACGGTCTCCGTGAACGAGACGACGCCGTCGGAGCACCCGTCGCACCCGTGGTCGTACCAAGCGACCACGTGCGCGTTGTAGTCCGCGGAGAGGACGTCCATGTCGCCGTCGCCGTCGACGTCGGCCGCGTAGACGGATTGGACGTAGGAGGCGTCTGTCGTGATGCCGTGCGTCGCGAACGCCTCGGATCCGTCGTTCTCGTACCAGGAGACCATGTTGTTCCACGCCGAGAGCGCGTCGACGTCGCCGTCGCTGTCCACGTCGATGGCGAAGACGGACGTGGCCTTGTCTGCGAGCGTCTCGATGATGTGTTTTGTGAAAGACTGGGACCCGTCGTTCTCGTACCACGCGACGGTGTCGTCTTCGTAGGACGCCGAGAGCGCGTCGACGTCGCCGTCGCCGTCGAGGTCGATCGCGTAGGCGAAGACGGAGATGGTTGCGGCGTCCGCGAGCGTCGTGATAACGCGCTCCGTGAAGGACTGCGACCCGTCGTTCTCGTACCACGCGACCGTGTCGTCATATTTGGACGCGGACAGCGCGTCGACGTCGCCGTCGCCGTCGACGTCGATGGCGTAGACTGAGCAGGCACCGTTCGCCAGCGCCGTGATGACGCGCTTCGTGAAGCCCTGGGAGCCGTCGTTCTCGTACCACGCGACCGTGTCGTCGGTGACGGACGCGGAGAGCGGGTCCACGTCGCCGTCGCCGTCGACGTCGATCGCATAGACGGAGTGGGCGGTGCCCGCCGAGTCCGTGATGACGTGCTCCGTAAAGAGCTGGGAGCCGTCGTTCTCGTACCACGCGACCGTGTCGAGGGCGGATGCTGACAGCGCGTCGACGTCGCCGTCGCCGTCGACGTCGATCGCGAAGACGTCGTCGAACCTCGAGCTGCCGCTGCCAGCGATGAGGTTCGGCTCGCTAAAGCCGGGCGACATCGACCCGTCGTTCTGGTGCCAGAACACTTTGGAGATGATGGACTCCCTGTCGTACTGGGATGCCGAGACGACGTCGACGCTGCCGTCGCCATCGAGGTCGATGGCGAAGGCGTCCGTCGCCGTGTCGACGTCGCCCACTACAATTCGCGTAAAGTCGCCGCAGCTGCCCCGCGCCGGAGCTGCGAGCCAGCCCAGGAGGATCATGAGCCGGCGGCAGCGCATGGCTAGAGGGCTGCACGGCCTTGTTCAGCTAGTTGAGGGAGAGAGCTGCCCGCCCATCGGATTCCGGTATGGGGTCAAACATGCACGCGCCGAGATGGTGCCGCGATACAGCTGTAGTGCGCGATCGCCTCTCGCTGCCCGCCGCGCGCCTCGTTGACGGGCCTCTCGCAGTTCTCTCGCGCGCTGCATCCGCCGGCGACGCACCCATGGAGCCAGAGGTGCAGCTACCTCTAGCCAAAGACGGAACGGTCTGCGTCTGCTTCGAGTGCGGCGAGCCGGGCCACTTCGGGCGCGACTGCCCCGTGCGGCTCGCCAACGGCGGGCGCCGCGGCAGGGCGCCGAAGCGCAAGCGCGTGCGCTTCGACGAGGAGGACGACGACGAGGACCCGCTGGCGAGCGGCGGCTGGTCGCGGCCCCGGCCGCCGCGCGACGACGACGACGACGACGACGACGGCGGCGGCGGCGCGCGGCCGTTCGACGACGGCGACGACGACGGCGACGACAACGTGGGCGACCGCGCGGGCGGCGACGAGGACGACGACGACGAGGACGACGACGACGAGGACGAGGCGCCCGTGCGGCGCATGACGGAGGAGGCCGTGGGCGAGGAGGACGACACGGGCGAGCGGTTCAACGAGGTCGGCGAGCGCATCGAGCCGTTCAACCTGCGGAGCGAGCGCGAGAACGACGGCTTCTTCGACGCGAACGGCAACTTCGTGTGGAAGAAGGGCGACGAGGAGCCCGACGAGTGGCTCGCGCAGATGGACGAGGCGACCATGGAGGCGGCCATCGGCGCGGCGGCGCGCCGCGCGGCCGACGACGACGGCGACGACGACGGCGGCGAGGACCCCGCGCTCATGGGCGACGACCGGAAGCGCGCGGTCGCCGCCGAGCTCGCGGCGCTCCTGGAGCCCGGCGAGAAGGTCGCCGGGGGCGTGCGGCGCCTGGGGCGCGCGCTCAAGGCCAAGGGCGCCGGCGCCGCGGAGGCCTTCGAGACGCTGAGCGGCCTCGCGGACGCGCTCGTGTCCGCGGGCCGCGCGGCGGTCTACGACGAGACGCGCGAGGACCTCGAGCGGTTCGCGGCGCCGCCGCGGGCCCTCGCGCCGGCCGGCGACGACCGCGCGTGGGAGTACCGCGCGACGGACGGCGGAGTCTACGGCCCCTACGACACGCAGACGATCCTCGACTGGCGGAGCGGCGGCTTCTTCACGGGCGACAGCGCCGTGCCCATGCGCGAGGTCGCCAGGGCCCCGGCGCCCAAGCCCGCGGCGGCCGCGGACGACCTCGCCGCGGACCTCGAGGACTCCGACGACGACGACGCGCCGCCGCCGGAGAACCCGAACCGGTGGGTCCACTCCGACGACATCGACTTCCTCGGGGACGGCGTCGAGAGCCCCCTGCCGTAACTCGTAGCTCGGGGCGGTGTGTACCGGGGGCCCTACGCGAGCGCGGCGCGCTCCGCGTCGACGGCCCGCGCGTAGCCGAGGCCCGCGGACTCGTCGAGCAGGGCCAGCAGCGTCGCCGCGGTCTCCGCGTTGGCGTCGAGGGCGGCGGCGGCCGTCGCCGCGAGCGGGTCCGGCGACGCCGCGAGCTTCTCGCGGATCTCGGGCAGCGTCGCCGCGGAGAAGCACGCCTCCGCGAGCTCGAGGAAGGCGTCGGCGTCGCGGGCGCAGGCGTCGTCGAGGAAGGGCGCCGACGCCGCGGCGCGCGCGTCGGCCACGGCCTCGAGCGCGCCGCGCGCGTCGGCCGCGGCGGCCGCGCCGGCCGCGGCGTGCGCGAGCTCCGCGGCGAGGCCGTCGAGGCAGTGGGACGTGACGACGTGGCTCGCGAGGCCCGCCGCGACGAGCGCCCGGCCGCGCACGGGCAGGCCGCTCACGAGCGCCGCGCGGCCCGCGGCGCCGCCGCGCGAGAGCTTGTACGCGGCGCCGCCGCCGCCGGGCGCGACGCCCGCGGCGCGCGCCGCCGCCCCCAGCGGCGGCACGAAGACGGCGCCGTCGGACGCGACGGCGAGGCCGTTGAGGCACAGCGCCGCGGCGCCGGGCAGGAGCAGGCCGTCGACGAGCGGCGCGACCGGCACCGCGGAGCCCGCGACGGCTTTGCAGAGCCGCGCGGTCGCGCGCGCGTCGGCGGCGGCGAACTGGCCGAAGTAGCCCTCGACGACGACGGCCTTGACGAGCCGGTTCGCGTTCCACTGCTCCACGAGCGCCGCGAGCTCCTCGCAGGCCCCGGGCGCGGCCCAGGTCGCCTCCTCGAGGACGACGCAGCGCGTGTCGACCCGCTCGCGCACCTCGACGACGGTTGAGGGGACCTCCTGCCGCACCTGGGCGAGCCGCGCCGCGCGCCGCTCGGCGACGCTGCCCAGGAGGCGTCGCGCTGCTCGCATGTCGTGCTGCTCGTCGCTTGCGGTGCTGCGCGGCAGCTCGATCGAGCTGTTCTCGTTCGCCGGGCCTCGCAAAGGGCGGCGGCGACGCGCGTCGTCGACGCCCTGGTCGACGCCGTCGTCTACAGGACTCGTCGTCACCACCTCCTCACCCCACATCGTCGCCGTTGGGAGGACTTCGAAGAATCCCCAAAAAAGGCGCGCTTACCTCCCTAGGCCGAGGAGATCGACGCGCACTCCCCGCCCGCGACCTCGGCCCAGAACGGCAGAGCCGGGAGGAGGTTCTTCGCGAGCATGAGGGGCCCGCCGTTCGGCGCGCAGGGCTCGAGGACGTTGTCGACGATGCAGAACGGCCGGTCGGCCCACCCGTACCTCACGCCCGTGACGTTGTCGCCGTCGAGCGTCGCCGTCGCGGACGCGAAGTTCGCGAGGCGCGTGCCGTTCTTTTCGTCGAAGGGACGCTGCGGCGCGATCGCCGCGGCGCGCCACGCGTCGCCGTAGCGGACCATGAGCGCGTCCGTCGGCGCGCCGGAGGCCGCGGCGCTCGGCCAGGCGCGGACGCCGTCGTCGCCGAGGAGCGCCTCGTCGAAGGCGAGGACGAGCGACCCGCCGTCGACGCGGCAGCCCGCGAGCGTCGGGCCCGCGCGCGGCGCCGCGTCGGGCGCGGCGCCGACGAGCGCGCGGTAGGCGAAGGCGAGGCGGTCGCCGACCCACTTCTTCGTCCGGGGGTGGATGGAGCCCATGAAGAACTTCGTGTAGGGCGTGTCGTTCGGCGAGCCGTCCTCCCTCTGGCACGCGTAGGGCGCGTCCGGCTCGTGGCATCGCGCCTCGGAGCCGCTCCAGGGGTCGCCGACGTCGTGGCCCGCGGCGACGAAGGTGCGCGCGTGGGCCTTGACCGCGGCCTGGGCGTGGCGGAAGGCGCCCATGGACCGCGAGAAGCCCTCGGACGTGCCGCCCGCGAGCTCGACGACGCCGAAGGGCAGCGTCGCGTCGCCCCAGGCCTCGCGCCAGCTCGTCACGAGGCGCGAGACGAGGCAGGCGTAGCCCGTGCGCTCCTCGAGGACGCCGCAGGCCCCGGGGCCGTTCTCGGCGCCGCCGTCGTCCGCGCACTGGAACAGGTTGTTCTCGCCCTGGTACCAGAGCACGCCGGCGAGGGAGTAGTTGACCCAGGGCCGGACCATGCCGTTGTACAGGGCCCCGTTCGCGTAGTCCTTGCGCTGGTAGGGCGGCCCGCCCGTGGTGTTCAGGCAGCCGGCCGATGCGTCGTAGAGCGTGGCGTTGGGCAGCCACATCTCCGCGATCGTGCCGCCCCAGGAGCTGTGCACGAGGCCGAGGGGCGCCGGGGCGCGGCCCGCGGCGCGCTCGACATCCGTGAGCGCCGCGGCGAAGAACCAGCACATGGCGGACATCTGCGCGACCGTGTTGTCGACGTCCTCGGCGCCGCCCGTCGCGCGCAGCCACCCGCCCTCGGGGAACCCGCCCGCGGGGTCGTAGGCCGGCGGCGGCGGCGCGAGGTAGCTCGCGGCGCCGTCGCTGATGTTGAGCCGCGTCTGCGTGCGCATGCGCACGTGGTCGTAGCGCCCCGCGCGCACGTCCGCGTACGTCTCGTTGCGCTCGAGCGCGAAGTTCATCACGAGCCACGCGTTCGACTGCCCCGAGCAGAAGAAGACGTCCCCGAAGGTCACGTTGGCGATGATCGTCGCGTCGGCGCCGTAGGCCGCGCGGATCGAGAAGTCGCCGCCGGCGTCGCGGGGTTTCAGCTCGACGCGCCACGCGTCCGCGTCGCCGCCGAGCGCCGCGACGGGCGACGCGTAGGTCTCGGTCTTTCCCGTTTGATCCGTCACGGTCACGGCCACGACGTCCGCGGACGCCTTCGCCACGCTCCCGTAGACGGCGACGGCGACGCCGCGCTGCAGCACCGCGCCGTCGGAGAAGACGCCGGAAAACTGGACGCCGGGAGCGGCCGCGGGCGTGCGCTTGTCGCGCGCGTCGATGTAGGCGTCGGTCAGGGCGAAGGGGTCGGGCGCCGCGAAGGTCGCCGGGAGCGCGAACAGCGCGAGCAAGGGCTTGAATACCATCATGCCGAACGCGAGGAAGAATTTGTGGCAGCCTTCAGCGAGCGGATGGTGCCGTCGAAGGTTAAGGCTGGCGGCAGACTAGTCCGCGCCTCCCCCCAAAAAAACGCACGTCAGCTTACGCCCTCGCCGACGCGCATGGCGTAGTACCACGCGGGGTTGCCCATGGTCGGCCCCGACGCCCACAGGTCCGCGCGCCGCTTCGCGTACTCGTGCTTCAGCGCGCGGTTGTTCGTCTCGACCATGGCGACCATGTTCCGGAACAGCTCGTCGGACTCGCCGACCTCGCGCAGGAAGAGCGCGACGGCCTCGACGGTGCAGACGCGGCCGGTCTTGGACTGCGTCCGCGCGTAGACGGAGACGAGGTCCGTGTCGAGCTTGACGTGGGGCAGTTTGTTGCCGAGGAGGCGGTCGAGGTGGCGCGCCATCTTCCGCGCGAGCGTCCACGTCGCGTCGACGACGACGACGTAGAACGGGGCCCCGGCGGCCGCGCCGCGCGCGGGCACGGGCGCCGCGCCGTGCGCCGCGAAGAACGAGTCGACGGTCGCCGCGCCGTCGTCGGGGAAGAGCAGCAGGCAGCGCCGCTCGGCGCAGGGCGCGCGCAGGATGGCCCCCAGCCGCGCGTCGTCGCCGCGGCGGCCGTGCACGAAGACCTCGGCGTCGTCGGGCGCGACGGCCGCGAGGACCTTGGCGTCGTCGCCCGCGCAGTAGTACTCCTTGTGGTGCGTGTAGAGCACGAAGCGCACGTCGAGCCGGAAGCGCAGCGTTTCCAAGCGCGCGCAGATGCAGTGGCCGTCGCGCGCGTTGTGCCAGCATCGTTCGCAGCGGCCGCGGGCGGCCATGTCGCGCTCCTTCGCATCGACGATGGCCTCGACGCGCAGCGCCTCTTCCTGCGCCGTGAAGCGCTTCGTGTGGTGACGCTGCTTTTTTTGCTGCTTGCTCGACTGGTCATTTTTTGGCTGCTTGCTCGGCGGCTGCTGGCCATTTGTTGGCTGCTCGGCCGGCGGCCGCTGGTCGCCGCTGGGAGACGCGCACATCGCTCCCGCTGGAGTTGTACTTCACCACAGCACGGTGCCGTGATCGAAGTAGACGTTGAGTCATATGATACAAAGTATGCTATCTGCTACATCGTCTCAAGGGGATCTTCAAGTATTACTTGAAGATCCCCTTGGTCGTCTTTTGTTCGGAAAGCCCAAACAGAAGCGTCTGCCGCCGTCGCCACCTCGCACCCACCAGCCGCTCCGTGCACCACCCGGCCTCCTCCTCTCCCCCGCTCCTCTCCTTCCTCTCCGCGCACCGCACCACCACCCGTGCACGTCGCGCACCGCAGCCCCTCGGCCGCCGTCCCATCCCACCACCACATCGTCACCGGTGCCCGCCGCGCGCCGCCGCCGCAGCCCCTCGGCCGCCGCCCCACGCACCACCACCACCGCCTCTGCCTCGCAACCCATCACGCACCACCACCGCACCATCATGGGCCTCTGCCGCGCGCTCGCCGCGCTCCTCGTCCTCGCCCTCGGCGCCGCGGCCTCCGAGGGCTTCTCCGAGGTCGCCAAACTCGTCGCGTCCGACGGCGCTGCGGCCGACCGCTTCGGAACCTCGATTTCGACGCATGGGGACCTGACCGTCGTCGGCGCGTTTCTCGACGACGACGCCGGCTCCCAATCCGGTTCGGCCTACGTCTACCGCAGGTTAGATTCCATCTCCGCGTCCAGCGACGGCGTCGTGACCCACCTCGCGTCCCTCTCCTGCCTCGGCAACGACGCCTGCCCGAGCGCGTTCACCCTCGACGAGTCCGGCATCGCGTCCGAGGTCACGCCGTCGTCGACGTTCGGCTCCGACGGCACGGTCACGCTCGTCATGGACGTCGTCACGACGGGCAGCAGCTCCGAGCTCACCGGGACGCTCTCCGTCGGCGTGGACTGCATCGACTTCCAGCTCGCGGCCGGCTTCTGCCAGGAGGCCGATTCGGCGTCGTTGTGCGCGGAGCACTCGACCGTCACGCGGACGCTCGACCCGACGACGCTCGTCGAGGCGTGCCCCGGCAGCGCGGTCCAGGACGAGAACGGCATCATCACGCTCACGCTCGGCGTCACGATCGGCGTCGGCCACTCGGACCCCTTCGACGCGCTCGCGTCCTTCGAGCACGAGGTGACGTACACCATCGACGTCGTGGACCAGGTCGCCATGTCCTCGTCCACGGCCGGCATCGACACGCAGACGGTCTCGGAGAGCCTCGACCTCGGCGTCGCCGCGCACCGCGTCGCCCTCGACTCGAGCCCCACGGCGCCCTGCGACATCTACTCCGCGTCCTCGAGCGCGACCATGGACGCGAACTCGCGCGTCTGCCTCATGCTCAACACGACGGACGAGGACTCGGAGTCCTACGTGGCATTCCTGAAAGATGCGACCGTGCGCAATCTCGACTCGGGCCTCGAGTACGCGCTCGTCTCGAACCGGAAATTCGGCCAGTCCGCCCCCGGCTACAAGTACGCCGGAGCCTGGCTCAACGACGCCCACGCGGACCTCGCGGAGCTGACCAAGGCTTACCACGACTACTTCACGTTCTTCCTCCCTCCGGGGCTCCGCCCCGACGAGGGCGCCGCGGCGAACCTCGAAGTCCAAATGGTCGTCGAGTACCACCACGTCGACACCGGCGCGCGGAAGCTCCGCCGCGCGACGCGCGAGCTCCAAGCCGCCGCGAATGAAGACTCGGCGGTCCTCCAGCTCGGAGCCTCGAACCCGTCGCTCGCGGAGGAGGGCACGGCCGGCGTGGACCTCAAGCTCGAGCTCGACGGACTTCCCATGGACGACTACCTGGCCTCCGGCGACGTCGACGAGAGCCTCGTCGCGAGCACCGTGGACGCGGCCCGGGTCATCACGGGGGACCAGGTCGAGCTCACGGGCGTCGCCGCGTCCGCCGACGGCATCTTCGTGCAGATCCACGTCTCCGGCATCGACGACGCCGGCGCGCGCTCGGTCTCGGCCGCCGTCGCGGCGGACGTGACGTCGGGCAACTTCTACTTCCGCCTCGCGTCCAACGGCCTCGTCGTGAACACCGTGGTCCTCGCCGGCGACGTCGTCGCGTACGAGGAGGCCGCGGCCATCTCCGTCGTGGACCTCGAGGTCGAGAGCGCGATCGCGTTCGAGAACCTCGACGTCTCGGCGTTCAACGACGACGCGCGCGCGCGGCTCCAGTTCAAGAAGGCCATCGTCGCGTCCGTCGCCGACGTCACGAGCACGGACCAAGTCACGAACGTCCGCGCCGTCGAGGCGCGCCGCCGCAAGCTCGAGGCGGGCGCCCTCGTCGAATACACGGTCGTCGTCACGCAGACCCTGCGCGACGCCGGCGCCGACTACGCGGAGACCTACCTGTCCGAGTTCGTCGCCGGCGTCGCCGAGGCCGCCGACGACGGCCTCTTCGTCCAAGTCCTGCAGCAGGGTGGCCAAGTCTTCGCGGACGTCGCGGTGGACGTCGAGGCCACGTCCGCGGTCCTCGAAGCGACGACCGTCGCTGCCGAGGAGCGCTCCGAGGCCTCCTCCTCTTCCGATGACGGCACCGAGTCCGCGAGCGCGGACGTGCCCATGTTCATCGGCATCGCCGGCGTCGTCGTCCTCGCGGTCGGCCTCGCCGCGCTCTACAAGGCCCGCAAGACCAACGCGGCGGTGCCTCCCGTCGTCGAGGCCGAGACCGCCAAGGCCCCCGAAGTCTGAGCGCACCGCGCTCCCGCCGAGACCAGCACGCCCTCGCGTTGCAGTGCGGCTCCGCGAAAAAAGTCCCCACCAACCCGCCGAGACCAGCACGCCCCCGCGCGCAGTGCGGCTCCGCGCCTTTTTGCCCCGCCAAGTCCCCGCCTCCACAAGTCCCTCCGATTTCGAGCCCGACGCCGTCCCGACGACGCGCCGTCCGTAGCTCTCCCCCGAAAATAATACGCTCAAAGTCCGTCGGCGGTGTGCTAGTTCGGCAGCCATCGCGACCGTCATCCGCGGTGCACCCCCGGCCGGCGCCGGCGCAAAGCAGCCCGGCATGTCCGGCATGAACTAGCGCGCAAGGTCCACTAGGTCGTGAGGCGCTCGACCGTCGCGCGGCGAGCTCGTCCCGCAGGCGCCCGACCTCGTCGTCGGGCGCCGTGCGCGCCGGCGACAGCGTCCAGCCGGGCGTCGGGCTCTTGCATCGTGCCCACCCGCCAGAAGGGCAGCAGCCCCCGTAACGCAACGATGCCCGCGCGCGTCGCGCCGGAGGCCGCGGACCTGGCGTCCGTCGTCCAGACCGTCGTGGCGACGAGCAGGTGGCGGCGCGCCGTGCGCGGCTGCACGGAATTGGACACGGAGGGCCTGGGCGGCGAGGTGGGCCTGCGGCGGCGGCTCGTGGGCCTGGCGGCGGCCGTGACCCTGGCCATCTTCGTCGGCGAGCAGTTCGTCTGGGTGACGCCCTCGGGCAAGCCCATCGGCCTCAAGTGGCTCATCTACCTCGGGACGTGGGCCGTCGTGTACACGCTGGCCTACGAGGCCGTCGCGTACGCGGCCGCGAGGTCCGTCGCACGCGACGAGGCGCGGGGCGTCGACCTCAGCGACGACAGCAAGGACCTCGCGCGCTGCGCCGTGCTCATGCGCGCGTTGATCAACCCGCTGGGGCTCGTCGGGTGCGCGTCGTGGCTCGTCTTCGTCAAGGACAGCGACGAGGGCGAGATGCGCCGCGCGTGGCTGTGGGAGATCATCTCCTTCGTCAAGCACGTCGGCCCTGAGGCGGCGTTCCTGCTGGACGTCCACGTGCGGCCGCGGCCCATGCTCCACGTCGCCGACGCGGCGCTCGGCCTCGTCGTGCCCGCGACGTACGCGACGTTCCTCGTGGCCTACTACTACGCGGGCGGCACGAACTACGAGAACGAGCGCGTGCTCTACGCGTCCCTCGACGACCCGCCGACGATTTTGGCCGCAGGCGCGCTCTGGGTGCTGTCCGTGCCGTTCTGCGTCGCGATCCATCGCGGCTACATGGAGCTCGTCGTCAAGGGCAAGCAGCGGTCCGTCTTCGCGCTGTCGCGGGCCCAGATTGAGGACATCGAGGGCGACATCCTCGACGGCTTCCGCTCGACGCCCAAGGACGACATCCTCAACGGCTGGGACGCGACGTCTCCGCAGCCCGCGGAGGAGGCCAAGGCCGCGGACGACGCCGGCGGCGCGGCGGCCGGCGCCGCCGCCGCGGACGACGCCGAGGCACCGGCCGACGACGCCGAGGCACGGGCCGACGACGCGGCGGCGGGCGACGCGGACGCGCCGGCCGCCGCGACGCCGACGGCCGCGGCGCCGCCGACCTTCGGCGACGGCACGCCGCACGGCGCCCAGCTTCCGCCGATCATTCGATGATGGAGGTTTGGGTTGGCTTGGTTGTACATTCTCTTGTTTTTCAATTTACTTGCCTTCATGTTGAAGTCGTCCCATTTATGTTGCAGCAGAGCATGATTGATGGGCGCCCCGCGCGCTAGACTATGATCTAGCGCCCGAAGCATGGGTCGCTTGAGCTTCTTGCTTGCAAGCGTCGCGCTGTCCGTGCCCGACAAGCCGCACATCGTCATCATGCTCGCGGACAATGTTGGGTGGGCGGTCGTGGAGTGGCATCGGCCGCCGGCGCTCCCGGCGCGCGAAATCAGCACGCCCAAGCTCGACGCGCTGCGGGCGTCGGGCCTGGAGCTGGACCGGCACTACACCTACAAATTCTGCTCGCCGTCGCGCTCGGCGCTCATGAGCGGCCGGCTGCCGGCGCACGTCAACGTCTACAACGACGACCCGGCGATGGCCGGCGCGGGCGCGCCGGCGCACATGCGGCTCATGCCCGCCATGTTGCGCGACGCCGGCTACCGGACCCACTTCGTCGGCAAGTGGCACCTGGGCATGGCGTCGAGGTCGCTGCAGACGCCCGCCGCGCGCGGCTTCGACACGTCGCTCGGGTATTTCCACAGCACCAACAACTACTACGACGGCACGCGCGCCGAGGGCTGCGGCGACGCGGCGCACGCGGACCTCTGGGACGGCGACGGGCCCTCCCACCTGAACGGGACGGCCTACGAGGAGCTCGTCTTCCGGGACCGCGTCGTCGACGTCGTCGAGGCGCACGACGCGGCGCGGCCCCTGTTCATTTACTACGCCCTTCACACCTCCTGCGTGGGCTACGACCCGGACGGCACGGCGGGCGGCGAGCGCGACTCGCTCCAGCCCGACCGGGCGTACTACGACAAATTTTCGTTCATCGACGACGACGACCGGAGGGCGAACGTGGCGATGGTGGCGCTGATGGACGACGTCGCGGGCGACGTCGTCGGCGCTCTGCGGACCGCGGGGTTGTGGGCCAAGACGTTGCTTTTATGGTCGTCGGACAACGGCGGCGCGGTGCACCTCGGCGGCGGCTCGAATACGTGGCCGCTCCGCGGCGGCTACTACAACAACTTCGAGGGCGGCGTCCGCGCGCCGGCCTTCCTCGCCGGCGGCGCGCTCCCGGAGGTGGCGCGGGGGAAGCTCCTCACGGAGTGGATCTACATCGCGGACTGGTACGCGACGTTCGCCCGCTTGGCCGGCGCGTCGCCCGACGACGGCGCGGTCCCGGCCGTCGACTCGCTCGACGTCTGGGACGCCATCGCGGGCGACGGCGCGTCGCCGCGCGTCGAGTGGGTCCAGACGCCGCTGGGGGAGAACGCGACGCGCGCGACGCACGGCGGCGACGCGTGCTATTTTTCCAAGCCCTACAAGCTCCTCGTGGGCTCCGTGCGCCAGAACGGCTGGCCGGGGCAGGTCCATCCGAACGTGTCCGTCGCCTGGGACTCCTTCGCGGACGTCCTCGACTGCGCCGCGGGCTGCCTCTTCGACATCGTCGCCGACCCGGAGGAGCGGCGCGACCTCGCAGCCGCGATGCCGGACACGGTCGCGGAGCTTCGGGCCAAGCTCGAGCGCGCGGCCTTCTACGACCCGGACCGCGGCGACCCGGACCCGCGCGCGTGCGCCGTCGCCGCGGCGACGGGCTACTGGGGGCCGTTCTTGCCCTAACATGCCCTCGCGCCGCGGACCTTATAAACTTCACCTTGAGTTCATGCTGACCCATTGGCGATCCGCCAGAGGATAGGCCGGCCTCCGACGCCAGCCGCGCGTACAAATGGCCGAGCTCGACAACAAGAAGAAGCGCAAGCGCGGCGACGCGGACGTCGCGCTGCAAAAGCTCGAGGAGACCGAGGAGGTCTCCGCCGAGGCCGCGCAGGCGGCCAAGGAGAAGGCGGAGGCCGCGGCGCAGGAGGCCAAGGACCGCAAGCGCGTGCAGGCGCTCGAGTACCTGCAGACCTGGGAGAACCGCGCGACGCTGCCGTGGCGCTTCAACAAGAAGCTGCAGCAGTGGTGGGTCGACCACTGGGGCTCGACGGCGCTCGTGTCCAAGGGCGAGTTCGCGCGGTTTCTCGACTACGCGGCGACGATCGCCGGCGCCGTGCGCGGCCGCCTCGCGGACGACGCGGCGGCGGCGGCGGCCGTCGAGGCCGTCGAGGACACGGCGGACCCCGCCGTGCGGGCCGTGCAGAAGAAGCGCATCCGCGCGAAGAAGCTCGCGAAGGTCCTCGAGGCCGCCGCGCCGAGTCGATGACGACGCGCGCCCGCGGCGTCCGATGCGCGCGGAGACCGCTCGAGTGATGCCCGCTCATGACAGAGCCATTCAGAATCGCTAACGGCATCGCGCGCCCGTGGTAACAGCGGGCCGCGAGATGGCCGAACTTCCTGAAACTTGACGAGAGAACCCGCCGCGTCGCCGGCTCCGAGCGGCGTTTTTGGCGGCCAATGACCTTCTTCCCGCGCAGGCGCCGCGCACGCTAGGTAGCTGGCGTCTTCTAAACCGCCGTCCGTTTCGTTGTGAGCCGATGTGGTCGTTGAAGCGGTTGTTGAAGGGCAACAAAAAGCGCGCGTGACGATGCTTGTCGTCGCGCGGCGCCTCGCGCCGCAGCGCTTCGCTCCGGCCGCGCCAGCACTGCGGCGCGCATCGTTGCTGCCGAGCGCGCACTACCTCGCCCTCGTCGCCGACGGCAAGATCACGCGCGACGAGCACCAGCTGACGGCGCTGGCGGCCCTCGACCGCGTCTACGCGGCCGTCGAGGGCTACGCGCCGCCGGCGCCGGCGCCGGCGCAGCCGTCCGGCGGCCTCGGCGGCGCCTTGGGCGCCTTCGCGCGGCACGTGGGCCTCGCGGACGCGCCCGCGGCGAAAGAGGCGCGCGGCTACGACTCCAAAGCCCCGCGCGGCGCGTACGTCCACGGCGGCGTCGGCGCGGGCAAGACCTTCACCATGGACATGTTCTTCGACCTCGCGCCCACGGCCTCGAAGCAGCGCGTCCACTTCCACGCCTTCATGCTCAGCGTGCACCGGAGGCTCCACGACCTGCGGGGCGACGATCGGATCAAACTCGTCGCGGCGGACGTGCTCCGCGAGGGCGCGCTCGTCTGCTTCGACGAGTTCCAGGTCACGGACATCGCCGACGCGCTGATCATGAAGGCGCTCTTCGAGCATCTGTTCGAGGGCGGCGCCGTCGTCGTCGCGACGAGCAACCGGCGGCCGCGCGACCTCTACGCGAACGGCATCCAGCGCCAGCTCTTCCTGCCCTTCATCCCGCTGCTCGAGGCGCGCTGCGAGGTCGTGAGCGTCGAGGATTCCGTGACGGACTACCGGCTCTGCATCGGCGCCGACGGGTCCGCGGGCGTCTATTTCCTGGAGGGCGACGCGGACGGGTTTTTGGACGCGCGGCGGAGGCTCACGAAGGAGGCGGACGACGCGGTCGCCGCGATTTTAAAGACGGAGACGGGCCGCGAGGTGCGCGTGCCCCGGGCCTTGGTGCAATCGCGCGCGTGCTGCTACCACTTCGACGAGCTCTGCCGCGCGAACGTCGGCGCCGCGGACTATCTGGCCATCGCGCGGGCCTTCGACGTCGTCTTCCTGGACGGCGTGCCCCTGATGACGACGGGCACGCTCGACGTCGCGCGGCGCTTCATCACCCTCGTCGACGCGCTCTACGAGCACGGCGTCAAGATCGTCGTCCGCGGCGCCGCGCCGCCGACGGGCCTCTTCGTCGGCGACAAGGGCGCGCGCGACGAGGCCTTCGCGTTCGACCGGACGGCGTCGCGCCTGATCGAGATGGGCTCCCTCGCCTACCTCACGAAGCAGCCGACGCGCGCGCCCGAGCCGCTCGTCGTGGCGAAGGACTAATTTTTACCGTCGTGGCGAACTTGAAGGACTAATTTTTACCGCGGCGTGAAGAGCCGGCGCGCGAAGTCGGCCGCGGGCATACAGGGCTCGCCGCGCGAGTCGAGGCCCTCCTTGCCCGCGCGGACGGCGTCGTAGGACAGCGGCGTGCAGAGGCCGAGCGGGTCCTGGGCGATTCGCTTCGTCTCCGCGTCGGCCGTCGCGAGCGCGACGTTGAGCACGGCGAGGCCCGCGACGACGGCGATGCCCGCGTTGCGCGGGCCCGCGCGGCCTTCGGCGTACGCGACGGCTCGCGGCGGCGGCGTCGCTCGTTGCCGGACGAAAGCGGACGCGGACGCGAGCAGCGAAAGCAGCGAGAGCAGCGCGGCCGCCCATCCGCGGCGGCCCATGCTCGTCGACGGCACCCAGGCTGCGAGCGCGATCGCGATGCAGACGAAGATCTGCGGGAAGCGGTAGATGCGAGCTCCTTGCACGAACTATATGTTCCGGCCCCGTGCACGCAGCCAGAGGGTGGCCATGAAGCAGACGAGCAGGAAGAAGACGCAGATGACGATGAGGATGGTGAAGGACTCCGCCATGGTTAGGCAGCGGCGGTGATGGGTAAGAGGGCGCGGCGGATGATGCCAAGCACGGCTGCGCCGGCGGTCAAGGTGCGGAGCAGGTGCCCAGCGGGGGCTGCCAGTTGCAAGCGTGCGGCGCGGATGGGCCAAATAATCCTTTGACTGCAACATCATCAACATGCCGCAGCCACAAGCGATGGCCCGCCCCTACATCAGCTTGCAGCGGCCCTAAACGACTTCAAAACGCGTCACAGAGCCGCTGAAACACGCCTTTAAAAACCATGGGCGGCAAGTCGCGCGAGAGCGCGAGACAAGAGCGCCGCCGCAAGGCCTGGTGGGAGGTGCAGACGCGCACGACGCCCGTCGCGCCGCTCGACGAGGCGACGGCGCGCGAGCTCGTCGCGGCCATCGACAAGAATCGCTCGTCGTCCTTCGGCATCGAGAAGCTCTGCCGGTTCGACCTCGACGCGCCCGTGGGCCCCGTCGCGCCGTGGGTGAAGCGGTGCGCGACGGCGGGCGGCTCTCGCTCGTGCGCTACGCGGCGCTCCGCGGCCGGCTCCAGATCGTCGCCATGCTCCTGCGCGGCGGCGCGTCCGCGGCGTCCTTCGCCGCGGGGCTCGGCGGCGGCGAGGCCGGCGCCGTCGCCGCGGCGCGCGACCCGCTCGCCGCGCTCGCCGGCCGCGAGACCGCGGCGGTCTTCGTCGCCGCGGCGCGCATGGCCGAGGGCGCGAGGGCGCGCGGCGTCGCGGCCGACTTCGCCTGGCTCTGGGTCGTCGAGACGCGCATCCAGCCGGGGAACCACCGCCGCGTCGACTGGGCCGGCTGCGGCTGCGCCGTCGCGGACCCGCTGCTCGCGCTCTGCGCGCGGCGCCGCGAGGGCGAGTGCCTGCGCTGCCCGGCCTGCGGCGCGCTCGGCGGCCTCGCCGCGCCCGTCTTCGACGCGGCGCCCGAGGTCTTCGACGTCGCCGGCGCCGCGGCAGCGTCGCGGGCCCGCTGGCTCGCGCTCGACGACAAGCGGCGGAAGAAGCGGTCGGACACGCTCCACGGCGCCTGCAGGCGCGGCGACGCGCTCAAGGTCCGGCGCCTCGTCGTCGAGGGCTGCGACGTCGACGCGCCGGACGACTGCGGCCTGACGCCGGCGCTCGTCGCGGCGCTGCGCCGCGACGCGGCGACGGTCGCCGCGCTCCGCGAAGCCGGCGCGGACGTCGACGGCGCGGCGGCCGTGTCGACGCCCGACGGCCGCCGCGTGCGCCCGGGCGAGCTCCTCGCCGCCGGGGCCGACGACGCCGTCGGCCCGGCGCCGCCGGGCCTCGAGGTCGTCGCGCTCGCGGCCGCGGACGCGTACGTCGTCCGGCGCTGCGTCTCCGGCGCCGAGGTCGCGGCGCTGCGCGCGCTCTTCGCCGCGGCGCCCCCCGCGTCCGGCGGCGGCCGCCAGTGCGGCCTCGAGCGGCGCCACTTCGTCGACGCGCGCGGCTGGCTCCGGCAGCTCGTCCGCCGCGCGCTGCCCGCCGCGCTCGTCGCGCCGCGGTGCAAGTTCGTGCGCTACGTCGACGGCGGCGCCGAGATGGCGCCCCACGTGGACCTGTCGAAGCCGACCTGCGACATTCTCGACGCGCCGCCGGGGTCCTCGACCTCGACGACGCACACCTGGGTCCTCTACCTCGAGGACTGCCCCAACGGCGGCGCGACGGCGACCCTCGCCGACGTCCGCGACCGGCTCTCGACGCTCGACGTCGTCTTCCCGGAGGTCGGCAAGCTCCTCGTCTTCCCGCACCGCCAGCCCCACGCGGGCCGACCGACGTCGCCGGAGGACCCGCCGAAGCTCATCGCGCGCGGCGAGCTGCTGATGGTGTCGTAACAGGGTCGTATTTTCCAAGAGGACGGCGTCGACGTCGCGATCCCCGGGGACGCCCTGCCAGTTCGCGAGCTCACGAGGAGTCCCAGGACGGGACGTCCTGCCGGTTCATGAACGAGCTCACGACTCGGAGGCCTCCCAGAAGTCCTCCGAGTCGGAGTCCCAGGACGAACCCTTATCCCGCGCCCTCTAGCCGACGTGCTCGAGGCGCTGCTGCTTGATGAAGTCCTCCCAGCTCCGCTCGGCGTCCTCGTCGGCGCGCTTCGCCGGCGCGGCGGGCGCGGCGGGCGCGGCGGCGGCCGTCGCCGCGCGCGGTCGCGGCGGCGCGGGCCTCGGCGGCGGCGGCTTCGCGCCCGGCGGCCGCCGCGCGAAGGACAGGTGCAGGGGCCGCGCGGCGGCCTTGATGATCTTCAGCAGCGAGTCGAAGTCGCTGTTGCGCAGGGGCGAGGGCACCGTCGCGCCGTTGACCGTCGCGAGCTCGTCGCCCTGGCGGAGCGTCGCGAGGTGCTCGCACGTCTCCCGGACCTTGGACACGATGGCGCGGCCGTGGGCCGGATCGTTGCTGAGCACGAATCCCAACCGGTCGCTCTCGAAGGTCAGGGCCAGGGGCGTCGGCGCCGCGGGCGGCGCCGGCTTCGGCGGCGCCGGCGCCGGCGCCGGGGGCGCCGCGGCCGGGGCCCGCGCGGGGGGCGGCGGCGCGCCGCCGCCGTTCTTCGCCGGGAGGGACCGCGCGAGCGCATCCATCTGGCGCTTGTTCGGCGGCGGCGGGTCCGGCCGCCGCGAGAAGCCGAGGCGGATGGGCCGCGGCGCCGCGGCGAGCCGCTGGAGCATGGGCTGGAAGGCCCGGTCGCTGAGCTTCGCGGGGACGGCGGCGCCGTTGACGCTCACGAGCTCGAAGCCCGTCGTCAGGGCGAAGGCGTGCTCGCAGGAGTCGCGCACCGCCGTGACGACGAGGCGCGCGTCGTCGCGAGCGTCGCGGCGGAGCTCCAAGCTGAAGCCGAGCTTCGGCGTCGAGAACTTGAGCTCGACGGGCTTCTCCGGCGCGTCCTTGTCGTCCGATGCGATGCTCACGGAGTTGGCGCGCCGCGGGGGCTCGCGGCGGGCGCCGCTCGCCGTCGACGACGGGCTGCGCGCGGCCGACGACGACGCGACGCTGAGCGACGAGCTCTCGAGCGACGGGCTCTCGAGCGAGAACCGGCCGCTCCCCGCGTCGTCGGCGCGCGGCGAGAGCGCCTGGGCCAGCCGCATCTGGCGCCGCGCGCTCTGGGCGCGCAGGAGCATGGAGTCGTCCGCGGCGCCGCCGGGCCCGCCGCCGCGGCGCGACGCCGCCGTCTCGCGCGAGCTCTGGGAGCTCGCGTCGTCGTCGCCCTCGTCGCGCCGCGGCGGCACGGAGTTGGACCGCCGCGGCGTCGTCCGCCGCCGCGCGAACTCGCGCCCGCCCCGCGGCGTCCCGACGTCGAGGTGCGTGCTCGACAGCACCGGGGCGGCGGCGGCGGCCCGCGGCGACGGGGCCTCGAACTTGGACCGCACGAGGTCCGCCGCGGCGCCGTGGCCGCTGACGCGCAGGAAGCTCACGACGGCGTCGAGCTCCACGAGGGACGACGCGCCCATGGGACGGAGGCTTACAGAAGCTTTCTCCTCATCGTCTGCTGTTTTGCGCGTGAAAAAATGGGCTGCGTTGGTTGAAGTCCTCAAGAATCCATTTTTTACCAGCGGCGCACGTCCTTCTCCGGGTAGGCCGGGTCGCAGCCGTGGGCCGCGACGGCGGCGGCCTCGGCGGCGACCTCGAGGGCGACGGCGTCCTCGCGCGCCTGCGCCGCCGCCGCGAGGAGGCGCTCGTAGGCCCGCCGCGCGTCCTCGGCGCGCTCCGCGGCCGCGGCCGCGGCGCCGCCCGCGGCCGCGGCGGCGTCCGCGGCCGCCGCGGCGCGCCGGCCCGCGCAGGTCACGTGGCAGAACTTGTCCATGAAGGCCGCGTTCTTGTCGCACTCGCCGCGCGCGGCCCAGTTCGGGCACTCGCCCTGCCAGTCGACGCACTTGGAGCGGATCGTCACGACGAAGGGGTTCGCGTCCGTGTCGATGTGCTGCCAGGCGAGCACGCTCTCGCGCGTCAGCGCGCCGCCGGCGCGGAGGTCCCGCGTCGCGAAGAGGTGGGACACGAAGGCCGTGCGCTCCGTCGTCTGGCCCGGCGCGAGGTCCTGCGGGTCGTAGCTCTCGGTCCCCCGGATCCACCAGGTGCGCACGGCGTGGTCGTGCTCGTTCCGGAAGACGACGGCCGTCTCGAGCTTGGGCCACATCCACGCTTCGAAGGCCGCGAGCGTCGGCCGCCGGAGGAGCTCGAAGTCGTCCCAGAGGCGCGTGCCGTTCCGCGCGAAGACGACGAAGGGGCAGCCCGCGGCGGCCGCCGCCGCGTCGATGCCGAACTTCTTCGCGATGCGGCTCGGCGACCCGTCGGGGTCGCTGAGCCTCGCCTTGGCCGTCTGCAGGACGGCCTCCCACCAGATGCCGTGCGGGTCCAGCTTGTCCGCGAAGGGGTAGGGGAAGCGCGTCTCGTAGCGCAAAAAGTCGCCGCACTCGCCCTCGTCGTAGAGGGCCAGGACGAAGTGGCGGTCCACGCGGCCGTCGTCGCCGAGCGCCGTGTCCTCGAGGTGCTTCCGGCTCCGCACGTTAATCGCGCGCGCGGCGGCCCGCTCCTGGCCCTCCGTGAGCGCCCGCGGCCGCCGGGGCCGCTGCCGCGGCGGCGGCGGCGGCGGCGGCTCGGGCCGCCGCTGCCGGCCCGTCGCGTCGTAGTGGCGCCGGTCGTCCTCGTCGCTCAGCAGCTCGAACGCCGCGACGACCTCGAGGAACCGGCGGTGCATCTCGTCGCCCTTGCCCGGGTGCTTGTCCGGGTGCGTCTCCCGCGCCTTGGCGCGGTAGGCGTTGCGCACCTGGCTCAGCGTCGCGCGCGCGCTGATGCCCAGGATCTCGTAGGGCGACCGGCTCAGCTCGACGGACTGGGGCTTGCGCGGCGGCGCCGCGCGACCGATGATGAGCGCGCAGCAAAAGGCGGCGACGGCGGCGGACCGCGCCATCGACGCGGCGACGACGCGTACGCGGCGCGCGCGCACGGCCGACGCGGCCTGTCGTTGCGGGGCGTTTGTGTGTGTTGGGCTGCCCGCCGCTCGACGCAATGTGGATAAGTTGCAGGTCAATATAGCAGTCCGGCGGCCTCAGCACCAAGCTCGCCATCTCGAGCTCTGCCACAGCATCATCAGCCAGCGCATACAGCTGCGCTTAGCACGCGCCCGCGCGGGCGGGCTCGGCGCCTCGGGCGTCCGCGACCTCGAGGTCGGCGCGAACCGCGCGTCCTTCCTCAAGGTCGCGGCGGCCATGGACGACCTCGGCTGGATCTAGGCGCGCTCGGCCGTGTCGCCCGAGGCGCGCGCGACCGTCGCTCCCGAGCCGCGCCTCCTCTTCTATGTAACGCGCCCTTCGACCTCGACACAGCTCAGAGGCTGGCCCTGTGAGCAAAATTCCGCGGCGCCCGGCGGGAGCGGGCAGGTCCAGGCGTTGCCCTCGACGCCGCAGCCGACGTACTGGTGGAACGGGAGCGCGGGCAGCGCGCCGCCGAGGCCCGGCCGCGAGCGGACGAGGTGGTTGCCCTCGATCTGGAGGACCGCGAGGTAGGCCATGTCCGCGAGCGACGCCGGGATCGTGCCCACGAGGCCGTTGTACTCGAGGTCGACGGCGACGACGCGTTTCCGGCCGCCGCGGTCCGCGCACGCGATCTCGCCGCCGAACGTCAAACACGAGCACGGGTCGTCGCGGTACTCCCCGCAGTAGGTCCAGGACGCGTTGCCGCCGGAGGCGTCGTAGAGGTCGCGCCAGGCCGCGCAGTCCGCGGCGTCGAGGCCCGCGGACTCGCCGACGCAGCCGTCCGCGGCCGCGCGCGCCGCCTCGTCCGCGCCCCAGGCCGCGTGGCGCGCGAAGACCCAGGCCGGCGTCGCCGGCGGCGGCGCGTCGCCGCGCAGGGTCGCGTGGTAATTCCGGTTGTCGTGGTCCACGGGCGCGTAGGGCCGCGCGTCCGCGGCCCAGGCCGGCGCCTCCGCGCCGGGCGAGTCGTCGCCGCAGCAGGGCAGGAGCAGGAACTCGTCGTCGCGGTCCCGCCTACGAAACGCGGCGTCTTCCCGCGCGACGCCGCGAAAGGACGCCGATACCCGCGAGTTGTCGAAGGCCCACTGGTGGTCCCCCGGCTGGCCGCCGCGCTCGTAGTGGAGCCCGCTCACGTCGCCGTGCCAGCAGGCGATGGTGTAGGGGAACTTCGACGACACGTGGTAGTGGCTGCGTTTGGGGGGAAAAGACGCTCGAGCGCAGGGCGAAGGAACGAAAGACGCGGGAGGACGCGCTAGCTGCGGTTCGACTCGGGCGTCGCCCCGAAGTGCCCCATGCAGCGGTCCAGGTCGTCCGGCTCCCGCCGGTCCGCGTCGTACTTGCCGTACAACCCGAAGCCGTCGGCGGCCCAGCCGATGAGCTTCGAGTGGCCGCTTGTCGTGTCGTCGTACATGCAGACGGGGTCGCCGTGGTAGTGGATGTCGAAGCCGCGGCCGCTGTGCTCGTTGCAGGAGTCCATCTGCCCGTCGAGCATCATGTTCTTCGCGCGGTCCCTGCCGTCCGTGGTCTCGTTGGCCTTGTCGACGCGGGGGATGTCGGGGAACATGATGGGATACATCGACAGCGCGTCGAGCGTCATCGCGAGCGCGCCGGCTCCCAGGTAGTCCGTCGCGTTCGCGCTGTACGTCGGGTCGAGGGGGATGCGGTAAGCCATTGATTGCGTGTTCCAGAGGCGCACCTGCGGGGTTCGGCGTCGCGGTCGTTGCTTCTCTCCGGGACGCGGCCGCCGCGCGCTCAGGTCGCCGCTCGGCGGGCCGCTGCCCGCGGGCTTCGGGACCTCTTCGAGGAAGACGTCGTGGTTCGGGACCGCGTCGGACCAGACGACGAGCGAGTCGTTGGTGCAGTACGCGCCTACGACGAGGCATATCGATGACGATTTTTTCCCGGTCAAAAGCTCTCGAAAATCGTCACGGCCGCAAGGACGCTGGTAGGCACCGGAGATGTGGTCGCCGTGCCACAAGAGACTCTTCCCGACGTCGCACTGGGGATACGCGGCCTTGGACGCCGCGGCGCACGGCTGGCACGCGCGGCCTTCGACGGGCTTCGCCGGGCTTCCGGCGCCTCGCGCGCGCCCGTCCCCGCGGACGGCCGCGTCGACGCCCGCGCCGTGGCGCTCGCCCGTGGCCCAGTCCACGCACACGGCGTGGCAGTGCTCCGCGGCGCCCGGCGGCAGCGGGCAGTCGAACGCGTTCGTCCGCGGGTCGTCGCTCTGGTCGTAGGCGTTCATGACCGTCGACGACAGGAAGCAGCAGTCGTCGCGCGTGCCGTAGCCGCAGCCGCGGATCTTGGAGTAGTTGATGGCCGGCAGCGGGCCGCTGAAGTTGTTGTAGGCGACCATGAGGTAGCGCAAGTCGTCGAGGTCCCCGAGCGCCGCGGGCAGCGGGCCGGCGAGCCCGCGGCCGCCGACGTCGAAGCCGACGATGCGCGCGCCGTCGGCGCTGCAGTCGACGTACTTGGGCGTGGCGCAGGGGTCGAGGCGCGCCATGGAGCCGATCTCGATGTCGCGCGGCATGCCCGGCGCCGCCGACGCGTTCTTGGGCATGGGCGCGACGATGGCGTCGTAGATGCGCAGCCAGGCCTCGCAGTCCTTGGGCGCGAGGCGCGCCGATTCGTTGACGCACGGCCCGCCGAGCCTCGCGGCGGCGGCGGGCAGGAGGGCCAGGAGGATTGGGAGGCAGCCCATTGCTCTCCCTCGCGAAGGTGTTCAACGCCGACCTCAATTTTACGACGCGACGCGCGACGACGCGAAGGTGTGCTCCCCGCGCGGCTCGCCGTCGGCCGGCGCGACGGCGCGCGCCGTGAAGGGGTCGCCGCCGAAGTCGTAGGGCGGCGGCTCGGCGACGTCGAGGCGCGCGAGGAGCCCCCGGGCGACCGCGTCGACGTCCGCGTCGATCTTGAGGGCCGCGAACTCCTCGTCCACCGCGGGCCCGCGGTTGACGATGGCCAACTTGCAGGGCGCCGGCCGGACCTTGCCGCGCTTCACCGTCGTCGCGAGGCGGAGCGGGAGCTTGGCCCACTTCGACGACGGGCACCAGGGGTCGAAGTAGTTCGCGAGCACGCCCATGCCTACGTGGAGACGGTTCCGTTCCCCCGGGCCGAGCAGGGTGGGACGCCGGCCGCGCGCTCGACCCCCAGACGACGACGAGGTCCGCCTCGCGCATGTGGCGCTTCGCGGCGCCGACGTTGTGTACGGCGTTGTCGCCCCAGGGGAAGCCGCCGGGCGTCTCGCCGAAGTCGACGGTCGAGTCGACGAGCCAGCCCGCGCCCCGCCGCGGCAGGTCGTCGCCGCGCGGCCGGCAGTTGGGGCAGGCGCGGCGCGTCACGTGGCGGCCCGCGGCGTTCGTTGCAAGGTACGTGTCGCCGTGGTACGTCACGAAGTCGCGGACGACGACGGCGCCGCAGCCCCTGGGCCGCAGGCGCCGGTCGGCCTCCCGCGCCGCCGCCCGCCCGTCGTCGCTCTCCGAGTCCGTCTCGCCCATGTCGCCGTCGCTGTCGCCGTCTTCGAAGTTTCCGCAGACTTCGACGAACGCGTTCCCGTGGAGCTCGCTGAGCTTCGCCGGCGCGAGGCCGCTCCGCAGGTGGAGCGCGTCCTCGTTCTGCGTGATGACGTGGGCGACGGTGCCGCCGGCGACGAGGGCCGCGATGGCCCGGTGCGCGAGCGTCGGCGCCGCGCCCGGGAGCCGCCAGTACATCGACGCGTCCCAGGGCGGCGGCGCGGCGCCCTTCGTCGCGCCGGGCTCGCCGCTCGCGAGGCCCTTGGCGACGGCCTCGGTCCAGATGCCGTCGGGCCCGCGGTAGTCGCGGATCTGCGCGTTCGTCGAGATGCCGGCGCCCGTGACGAAGACGACGTGCGACGCGGCTTGGATAAGAGCCGCCAGCGCGTCGAGCTCGGCCTCGAGGCCCTTGCGCCGCTTCGACGAGCGCGTCATGGTGGCGGGTTTGCAAGCGGCACAACGCGACGGGCAGCACTGCGTCAGGGAGAAGAGAGAAGCGACGGAGCGAGGCGCTCACATCAGCCGAGCTCTGCCGCAAAACTTCAAGAATCGCTGGTGCACTGCTCTTGCTGCTGACTCGATAGCCTGAGCCCGGCGATGGCAGCGTCATCGCGCCGTTGCGGCCTCCTTCTAGGCCTCGCTGCCACCACTCGTGCGCTGCAGGCACCAGCGCGGTCATCGCTTGCACCGCGCCACCAAAAACGCCACGCGTCGCCGGCGGACTGGCCCAGCGCCCTCGCCGAGGCCTGCGACGCGGACTACGAGGAGGAGACCATGAGCGTCGGCTCCGCCGCGGCGCTCGTCGCCGGCACGACCGTCGGCGCCGGCGTGCTCGCGCTGCCGGCGGCGACGCGCGGCGCGGGCTTCGTCGCGTCGAGCGGCGTGCTCGTCGCGTCGTGGGCGTTCATGGCCGTCGCCGCGCTCCTCGTCGCGGAGACGTCCGTCGGCGTCGTCTGCGCGACGGGCCGCGTCGACCTGGGCTTCCTGGCGACGGTGCGGTCGCTCTGCGGGCCGCGCGTCGGGTCCGTGGCGGGCGCGGCCTACGCGTTCATCCACTACGCGCTCTTGGTCGCGTACGCGGCGCAGGGCGGCGCGCTGCTGGCGGGCGCCGTCGGCGCGGACCCGGCCCTCGGCGCCGTGGCCTTCTCCGGCGTGCTGGGGGGGACCGTGGCCTTCGGGTCCGGCGACGTCGTCGACGCGGTCAACAACGCGTTCGTCGTCGTCGTCGTCGCGTCCTTTTCGGCGCTCCTGTGCCTCGGCTCGGGCGAGTTCGACGCGGGCCGGCTCCTCGCGACGTCCGGCGACGCGGGTGCGGCCTTCGGCGCCGTGCCCATCTCCATCCTCGCGCTCGTGTACCACAACGTCGTGCCGCTCGTCGCGACGCGGCTCAAAGGCGACCGGCCGAAGATCGCGGCCGCGATCCTCGCCGGCTCGGCCGTGCCCCTGGTCATGTTCCTCCTCTGGAACGGCCTCATCCTGGGCTCCGTGGACGGCGACGCCGTCGCCGCGGCGGGCGGCGACCCCGTCGCCGCGCTCGTCGCCGCGGAGGGCGGCGCGGCCGCGCCCGCGCTCGGGCCTACGGTCGCGCTCTTCAGCCTCTCGGCCGTCGTCACGTCCTTCGTCGGCTTCTATTTCGGGCTGCGCACCTACCTGCGGGACCTCTTCCTCGGCGACGGCGGCGGCGGCCCGCTCGCGGACGCCGCGGAGAGCGAGGTCCTGCTCGCGGCGCTCGTCCTCGCGCCGCCGACGCTCGTCGCCTGCGTCGACCCGAAGATCTTCCTCCCGGCGCTCGACGCCGCGGGCACCTTCGGCATCACGACGCTCTTCGGCATCATCCCGGCCGTCGCGGCCTACCGGCAGCGCGAAGGGGCCGCGGACGGCGAGGTCTACGTCCCCGGCGGCGCCGCGACGCTGGGGGCGATGGTCGCCATCTCCGCGGCCGTCCTCGGCGAGGGCGTGCTCGACGGCGTGGGGGTGCTGTAGCTAACATCTTAGGGAAACGATCAGCTCGCGCGCGGCCGCCGGCGCCGCCGCCGCGGCTTCGCGGCCTTGCCCGCCTTGGCGCCGCTCCGCTCGAGGAGCGCGAGGCACGCCTTGCCGCGGAGGCGCGTCCGCCCGATGTGCTCGAGGCACACGTCGAGCGCCGTCGCGCCGCGCTCGTCGCGCTCCGCCGCGGACGCGCCGGCCTCGAGGAGCGGCGCGACGAGGTCCGGCTCGCCCGCGCGCGCCGCGAGGTGCAGCGGCGTCTGGCCGTAGCGATTCGGCGCGTCGAGGACGGCCCCGCGCCCGACGGCGCCGAGCAGGAGCCGGAGCACGGCCGCGTGCCGCCCGACGATCGCCGCGTGGAGCGGCGTGAACCGGTCGCGGTCCGCGCGGTGCGCGACGACGGCCGACGGCGCCGCCGCCGGCGCCGCGGCGAGCTCGACGGCGAGGAGCCGCGCGACGACGTCGGCGCGGCCCTTGAGCGCCGCGACGTAGAGCGGGTGCTCGTGGCGGTGGTTCGGCATGCCGAGCGACTCCCCTAAGAACGGCGACGGCGCCGAGAGCGCGGCGACGGCGGCGCCCGCGCCCTGCTCCGCGGCGCGCACGAGGGCCGTCGAGCCCGCGTGGTCGCGGTGGAGCGGGTCCGCACCGAACGCCACGAGCGCCGCGCAGGCCGCCGCGTCGTCGCGGAGCGCCGCGGCGTGGAGCGGCGCGTGCTTCCGGCCGTCGACGGCCTCGAGCGCGGCCGCGAGGACCTCCGGCGTCGCGGCGCAGCGCGCGCGGAGCGCGCCGAGCTCCGCGACGGACGCGACGGCGAGGTCGACGGTCTCGACCCCGACGACGTGCCTCGCGACGACGTCGGCCGCCGCGGCGCCGAGGAACGTCGTTTCGACGACGGCGATGGTCCGCGGCGCGGGCGGCGGGTCGCCGTCGCCGTCGACGAGGCAGCCGCCGAGGAAGAGGACCTCGAGGCTCGGCAGCGCGCCGCGCGCGACGGCCCCGAGCAGCGCCGACGACACCGTGCCGTTCGTGAGGCCGAGGAGGCGCAGGCCCCGCGCCGTGGGCGCGCGCGGCGCGAGCCAGAGCACGTCGCCGATGTGCAGCGCCTCGAGGCCCTGCTTCGCCAGCGCGTCGCGCGCGACCGCGTCGCCGAGGCAGAAGCACTTGGACGCGACGACGGCACGCGCCGCCGCCGCCGCGACGAGCAGCTCCTCGGAGCGCACGTTGCCGTGGCGGAACCGCGCGCAGCGCATCGCGCCGGCGAGGGGCAGGAAGCGGTCCAGCGCTACGCGGCGGCCGGTGAAGTGGAAGCTCAGCTCCGTCGACCGCGCGAGCGCGAGGACGCCGCGGCTCGCGCCGCGCAGGTTGCCGAGGTCGCGCGGCGTCCGCGCGCTGAGGAAGAGGCAGCTGCGGACGAGCTCCTCGGGCAGCGTTGCCAGCGCGCCGAGCGACGACATTGCCAGCACTCGATGACGAGGAGGCTGTGGAGCTCCGGAGAGCGGTCCGGGAGGGCCTCCTTGAGGTCAAGAAACCTGATGAGGTCGATATTGATGAGGCTGCCGAAGCGAGCAGCCATGGGCTGCCCAATGGTGGAGGCGGTGCAGCACAGCTCGTGAGACCATGCGGCGCCTCTCGGCGCTCCTCGTCGCCGCGGCGGCCCGGGCCTACGAGTTTTCCGCGCCGCACGTCGTCACCGCCGACGATTTGGTCCGCACCCTGTGCCTGGCCGACGTCGACGGCGACGGCGACGTCGACTTCCTCGCGGCCTTCGACGCGACCGTCGCGTGGTACGCCAACGTCGCCCTGAGCTTCAGCGCGAACGTCATCGGCACCGCCGCGGACGACGCGCGCGGCGAACGCCATGCCCTACCCCGAGGCCTGTCGAGCCGTCGACGTCCGCCTGACCAAGGCGCTCTACGCGTCGGCGCAGTTCGGCGCGACGGCCGCGTGCCTCTACGGCCCGGCGACGTGTGCCTTCGCGCCGCTGCTGGGCATCGAGATCGCCGCGTTCATGATGACCGCCGTGCGGAAGCGGTGGGTCACGTCGTCGGCGTACCACGGCGTCTACGCGTCGGCGCTCCTCGCGAACTACGCGCTCGCCGCCGCGCTCAGCGTCCGCGCGCTCGCGGCCGGCCGCACCTGGCCCCTCTCATTCCTCCTCGCGACGAACCTCGCGCAGCGCCTCCGGGTCGGGCGCGGCGTGCCGCCCGCCTGGGCCTGGGTCGCCGCGGTGGGCGCGACGGAGGCCGCGCGCGCCGTCGCGCCCCCGCTCGCGCGTCGCGCGGGCGCGGACGCCTGGCTCGCCGTCGGCGCGCGGGCGCTCGCCGCCCCCCTCGCCCTCCGGCTTGCCTGGTGGATCCACGCGAACGCGAGGATGCTGGCCTGGACGCTGGGGTGGCCGACGCCCCGATCCACGCCCGCGCTCTTCGCGAGCCTCCACCCCATCTTCTCCAAATCCGGTCGTTATGCTATGTAGGCTGATACCACCTTTTAAGCCCAGCAGTCCAGTTCGACGCCGCCGCGCGTGTCCGCGACGGCGATGAGCGAGAGAAGGGCGCCGAATTGCCGGCCGTGGCGGTCGCCGACGCGGTGGAGCTCGCGCGTGCTCCGGCAGGCGAGGATCTCCGGGAGCAGGTCGGAACCGAACGTCTTGCGGCCGTCGAAGAAGAGGTCGCCGACGACCTACCGAACGCGTCGGTGACGACTTTTCGTCGTTTTCCCGGCCAAAATCTCTCGAAAATTGTCAGGACGCCGCCGAGGACGCGACACTCGACCTGGTGGTACTCCGCGCAGAGTAATCGCAGCGCGGCGTGGTCCGCCGTGACGCGCTCGAGGAGGTCGACGAAGCGGCGCGCGGAGAAGACGGGCACGCGCGCGCGCCCGTCCGAGAGGTTGAAGAGGCAGACGAGCGACGCCGTCAGCGCGTCGGAGAACTCGAGGCCGTCGCGGTCCGTCGCGCCCGACGCTCTCACGACGAAGCAGTCCCGGAGCGGCGGGAGCGTCGCCGCGAGGACGAGGATCCACCGGATGTTCGTCGACGCCGCGGGCACGTCCTGCAGCCAGCGCAGGTACTTTTGGTACTTGCAGCCCGGCGACGGCGCGGCTCGCAGCGCGGCGGCGTGGCGCGCGAGCGCCGCGGCGACGCGCTCGCGGTCGCCGGCCGCGTCGCCGAGCGCCTCGCGGAGCGCGCCGCGGCGGAACGCGTCCGTCTTTCTAGCGCCGAGCCGCGACGACCACTTCCGGCCCAGGGACGGCGGCAGCGCCGCGGCGATGATGCAGCGGGCCCAGACGTCGCGCGGCACGCTCGAATCTCGCCGGAGGGCTCGCACGGCGGCGATGGCCGAGAGCCCGTCGCAGGCGTACTCGATGATGAGCTGGACGAGCTCCTCCGGCAGCGGCTCCACGGGATCGTCGGCGGCGCGCGACGCGCCGAGCGCCGCGGCGCCGACGCCCATGTCGAGGAACGCTGCGCAATGAGAGCAGCCCGCTCCACGAGCGCTCCGAGCCCGCTTCAGTTTTTGCGGCATCATTGACCTTTTGGCACAGCGAGAAGCATGGCACTTAGCATGCGGACCGCATTGGCCCTCGCCCTCGCGACGGCGGCTGCCCAGCCGTCGAACTCGACCTATTACGGCATGTACAAGGCGACGTGGGCGACGTCGGACCCCATCCACACGACCTACCCCTTCCTCACGGAGCTTTTGGGCAACCTGCCCACGGACAACAACTGTCCCAATCTGACCTGCGCCTGCGGCACGCAGGGCCGCACGGAGCTCAACGGCACGCACGGGTTCGGGAGCGAGGACCACTTCGGCGTCCACACCGTCGAGGCCGCGGGCGTCAACGGGAGCCGGCTCCGCGCGTCAGGCGCGTATTCGCTCGAGGAGATCGAGGCGATCTGGGGCGCGGCGCTCGGCGAGATGGACGCCTACGACACGTTCCTCGATAACCATCTCGCGCTCTGGGCCCCGGACCTGGCCCCCTACGTCGAGCGCTTCCAGGCCGCGGCCGTGCCGGCGCTCGGCCTCCGGTGGGCGTTCCGAGGCGAGCGCTACGCGAGCCTCCTGGTCCACGTGCCCAAGTCCCAGGTCGTCCTCGAGCTCATCTCGCAGACCGCGCCGCCGGGCGTCCGCCAGCGTCCTGCATCCGTGGCGGCTTTCGAGAAATTTTGACCGGCAAAACGATGAAAGATCTTTACCGACGCATGTGGTAGGCGTCCGCTGGGTCGCCGTCGACGAGGTCCGCCACCGCTTCGAGGACGGGCCGCCGGCCGTGGCCGCCGGGCGCCTCGAGCCGCTCCACGTGAGCCGCTTCGCGGCGGATCTCGACGTCATCGAGGTCTTCTACGACCGGGTCCTCGGCGAGAAGCCGAGCGCCGTCGACTTTCCGCTCGACGAGGCGGACCCGACGTCGAAGCGCCTCGTCTACGGCGGGCCGGGCTCGTTCACGCCCGACGTCGCGCTCGTCTTCGTGACGCGCGCCGAGCCCTCGAACCGCGCGCGCTCCGCGTCCTGGTTCCAGCGCTACGCCGTCGCCGTCGGCGAGCACTACATGCGCAACTACACGGACTGCTGGCCCGTCTGGGGCGACGACCGGCGTCCCGCGACGATGTTCGACCGGGAACGCGACGGAACGTCCCGTAGGCGACAACCACGTCGCGGTCCAGATGAACCGCGTGACCCCGGGCGCGCCGACGCTCGACGACGTCGTCGCGAACCTCGACGCCATGGGCTGGCACCTGCACCACCCGTTCAAGGGCGCGTGCAAGGCGCCCGGCGACTGCGGGCCGAGCGACATCTACCTCATGGACCCGAGCGGCTGGACGACGCAGCTCGTGTCGCCCGTGGGCTTCAAGAATACGACGCTCCCGGGCGCGGACGTCGACAGCGGCGGCCTCTCGGGCTACTGCTTCGAGTTCTGCGAGCACTTACGCGCGCCGTGCGAGTAAAAGGCGCGTTTAGACGACGGCGCTCTGCCGCCAGTACAAGTAAAAGGCGCGTTTAAACGACGGCGCTCTGCCGCCAGCGCGCGCCGTCGAGCGCGTCGTCCGGCGGCGCGGCGAGCGCGCCGGCCTTGGGCGGCGGCAGGCTCGACCGGCGCACGGTGCTCTTGCGGAGCGGCGGCGCGGCCCGGGCGCCCGGCGCCGCCGCGGCATCGACGGCCGGCGGCCGCACGGACAGCGACCGGCGGATCTTCCGGTAGGCCGCGCGCGCGGACGAGCCGAGCGAGCCCGTGGTCTCGACGACCTTCTCGAGGGGCGTCTGGTGCACGTCCTCCCAGTGGCGCTGGAGCACCTCGGCGCTCGGCGCGCGCATCCAGCACGTCGGGCAGATGAAGCCCGACGCGATGACCGCCGGGTGCTGCGGGCTCGGCGCCGCGGGCGGGCACGCGCGCGCGCCGGCCGCGGCCCGGTGCCGCGAGCCGAAGCGGCTCCGCGCGGGCGTCGCCGCCGCCGCGGGCGTCGCCGGCGCGTCCACGGCTTCCGCCTCGGGCGTCGGCGGGAGCGGCGCGCCCGGCGGCGGGAGCGCCGCGGGCGACAGCATCGCCATGAGCTCCGCGGACGTCGGCGCGGAGAGCAGGTCCGGGTCCGCGGGCTTGGGCGTCGCGGCGCCGGCGTCGCCGAGGGCCTCGGCCCTCGCCTCCTCGGCGCGCAGCCGCTCGCCGGCCTCCCGCGCCTCCTTGAGCTTCGCCCAGAGCGAGTCGCGCTCCTGCTCCTGCGCCTCCAGCTGATCGACGATGTTCGAGCCGCGGCGCTTGAAGCTCCCGAGGTCGAGCTTGTTCAAAGAGGACGGCGAGTCCATGGTCGGGTGTTGGTGCGCTGCGGCTCGCGCGGAGAACGGGTCGGGCTCCTGCGGCGGCGGCGCGCGCGCAAGACGAGAACAGGCAAGCCGATGCTGATTGGGGCTTCCTTGAAAGTAAGGCCTTCGGCAAAAGTAGATGCTGAAGTCTCGGTGAACAGCAACAAGTTCAGGAATATAGCAATTCCTTTCGTTTCCAAGACGCGAAAGCCAGGCGCCTCGCACGTGGGCGCGCGCCGGCCGTGGCGTAGCCGCAGCCGCAGCCTCGCGCGACGCCGACGCGCGCGGCCCACGCCACGGCGGTGACGGCGGTGGCTGCCCCCGCACACGTGGGCAGCCCGGATCCGCAATACGCGTAAACCCATGTCGGCGCGCTCCATGGACGCGGCCGACGTCGCGCTCCTGCCGAGCGCGAGCCCGCGCGCCGCGAGGAGCCCGTCGACGAAGCGGCCGCGGAGCGACAGCCTCGACGCCCTCGAGGCGAGCCTCCGCGGCGGCCGCGCGGCGACGGGCGCCGAGGCGAGCCTCCGGCGCGGCGACGACGACGCGTCGAGCGCGACGAAGAAGCGGCGGGGCCGCAAGCCCATGAACCTGAGCACGGAGGAGCGCGCGACGCTCACGCGCGCGCGGAACCGGCTCCACGCGCAGTCGACGCGGCGCCGCAAAAAAATCGTCGCCGAGTACGCGCGGCGGCGGTGCGACGAGATCTTGGCCGAGTACGCCGGGGCGGGCGACGCGCCGACGCGCGAGATGGTCGTCGCCATGCTCGAGCTCGACGGCGACGGCGTCACGCGGCGGGCCATCCTCAACAAGTTTTTAGAACTTCTCTTCAACGGCGCGTCGCAGCCGAGCGGCTTCGCGGACCTCGCGGCCTGCGGCGACGCCTTCGAGCTGCGCCTGCCCGCGGCCATTCACCGCGCGTCGGCGGCGAGCCACGCGCCGCCGGGCCTCGACCCGGGCAAGGCGTCGCGCGCGGGGACCGCGGTCGCGCTCCGGGGCGTCGAGGCGCTCGCGTTCGAGGCCGCGTGCGTCCGGTCGTTCCTCGACGGCTTGCGGCGCGGGCCGTCCGGCGCGGGCCCCGTCTCGGCGATCGACGTCGAGTGCGCCCTCGCCGAGGACGCGCACGCGTCGGCCGTGGGCGACGTCTTCGCGTCGGACTTCCGCTACGCGACGCGGGGCCTCGTGAACGCGGGCTTCCCGCGCGAGCTCGAGGTCCGCGGGGCGCTGCGGGCCCGCTTCAACGTGCGCGCTAGACTCAGCGACCTCGAGCTCTCCTACGACGCGGGCGCCGTCGCCGCGGCCGTCGCGGACCTCGGCGCGCCGCCGGGCCGCGCGCCCGACGCCGCGGCGCCCCGCGGCTCCGCGCCGCCGGCCGACGACGGTCTTCACGGCGCCGCGCCGGCGCCGGCGCCGGCCGCGGCCCTCGGCGCGCCCAAGCTCTTCCCCTTCTGCGGCGACGACCTCCCCTTCGCGATGCGCTGCGTCGAGGACATCTTCTCGTCCAACGGCCTCGCCGCCAACGGCGACGACGCGCCGCCGCGGCCCCCGGCGGCGGAGATCGCCCTCCTCCAGGCCCTCTGGGGCGGCGGCCTCCCGGCCGACGGCGGCTGAAGGGCCCGCCGCGCTCTCTTCCACTCTGTTTTGTCCGTTGTACCCCGCTGTCCCCCCAACCCCGTCGCTCGCCCCGTGTGCGTGTGCAACCTGATAAACACTGTGTCGTTTCTAGAGTGGAGGGTGCTGCCGGGCTGGCGGGCTGGCGGAGCGTCGGAGCTGGTACAATTGGGCAAACTTGTCGCGATTGAAGCCGTCGGTGAAGTCGTGCCCGGTTCAGCCCGATGACGCGGCCAGCGGAGTCGATGATGTTCGTCGCCATTAATTAGCGCTGCACACCGCACCGTTACCGCTACACACCACACCGCTACCATTAATTAGCGCTGCACACCGTTACTTCTCCGCCGCCGCGGCGCCGGGACACGCTCCCGCCGCCGGACGCGCGGCGGAGGCGGCTCGAGACGACGCTCCGGCTGCTGCGGCGGAGCTGCGAGCTCGGGCTCTACGTCGCGCCCCTGGCCCTGAGCCGCGTCGCCGTCGAGGCCTGCAAGCTCGTCGGCATCGCCGGCGCCGAGGAGCGGTGGTGGGACTACGCGCTCTGGTCCGTCGAGGGCATGGGGCCGACGGCCGTCAAGCTCTGCCAGTGGGCGGCCGGGCGGCCGGACCTCTTCCCCGCCGCGGCGACGAAGCGCTTCTCCCGGCTGCACGACGCGGTCCGCCCCCACGCCTTCCACCACACGGACCGGGCCCTCGCCGCGGCGCTGGGGGCGGACTGGCGCGACACGCTCGAGCTCGACGAGCGCCGGTTGTTGGGCTCGGGCTGCATCGCGCAGGTCTACGCGGGCACGCACGACGGCCAGCGGGTCGCCGTCAAGGTCGTCCACCCGGGCGTGCGCGAGGCCGTGGAGACGGACATGGCGCTCCTCGCGTTCTGCGTCGGCTGCGGCGAGCGGTTCGCGCCCGGCGCGTTCCGCTACCTCGCCGTCGGCGGCTCCGTGCACCGCTTCGGGGCCATCATGCGGTCCCAGCTCGACCTGCGGACCGAGGCGTCGAACCTGGAGCGGCTCCACGCCCACTTCGTGCGCGACGACTCCGTCGTCGTGCCGCGGCCCGTCGGCCGGCGGCGGTCGCCGGACGTGCTCGTCGAGGAGTTCGTCGCGGGCGTGCCCGTGCTCGACTTCGCCCGGGGCGACGAGGCGCGGGCGGCGAAGATCGCCGAGGCCGGCGCGCGCGCCGTGCTGAAGATGGTGCTCCACCACAACTTCGTCCACGGGGACCTGCACCCCGGCAACATGCTCGTCAACGACCGCGCGCAGCTCGTGCTCCTCGACGCGGGCATCTGCGTCGAGATCGGCGACCGGGCCCACGAGGACATGGTGTCGATCCTCAAGGCCATGCTCGAGGCGCGCGGCGCCGACGCGGGGCGCCTCATCCTGGGCGCGCACGCGAACCGCGGCGATTTCGGCGCGATAGACCGCGAGAGCGAGGCGCGCTTCGTCACGGGCATCGACGAGATGGTCGCGCGGTCGCGGGACCAGCCCATCTTCGAGTCCATGGCGGAGTACATGTCCACGATCTGCGGCCTCGCGGTGTCGCACCGCGTCGTCCTCGACGCGTCCTTCGTGTCCGTCGCGCTCGCCATCAAGATCATGGAGGGGCTGTGCCTGGGCATCAGCCCGGACTTCCCCTTCCTCGAGATCGCCGCGCCCATGTTCCTGCAGGCCCAGATGACGCGGTCGTCCCAGCGCGAGCTCGGCCGCCTCTCGGCCTGGTCGCGCGGCGTCCTCGAGGACATCAAGGCCAAGGAGGGGCTGGCGTAACTTAGCACATAGATGTGATGTTGACCAAGTTATTGAAGGGGATAGGCTGGGGATGCGCGCCCGACTGCCAGTGCCGTCCGGGGATGTTGCACATCATCATCCACTCAAAAGCTGGCCCGGGTCCGGCGCGCAATGGACGAAGACGCTGCACGGAAATGCGTGCTTATAAAGACCATCATTCGCCGACGCGATGTCGGCTCCGACGAGCGCGCAGCTACTTATGCCTTTCTACTGTGCGCGGCCCGGTCGGCGCGCTCGAGCCCTCCGAGTCAAAGGCGGAGTGCCAGGCGGCAGCGCTCGAAACTCCAGTTGTGTCGCCTCCCGCACGATGTGATCCAGCACATCGCGCGACTCGCCTACGCGTCCCCGTATGTGGCCGAATTTACCACGGACTGGAACAGACCCTGGACTTTCGATTACCTGATGCGCAACCGTCTTATGGAGCTGGACTGCCGCATGTCGGAGCTCGCTGTTACGAGCGTTGCTTTTCGCGCTGATCACTCTCTCGATCACCTCGCGTTGGCCCGACCCATCATCAATTCTCTCGTCTACCTGGAGTTCACTCTCTCACTTGTTTGGTTCGGCACGTGCTTTTATTGTCAGTACGGTGGTTCGGCGATGATGTTGCGATTCTTTATGGAAGAAGACGAACTGGGAAACGAACTCACAGGAGACCCGCAAGACGACGCTCGTGTGGGTTTGTTCGTGGATGATCAGTTCTATGGGGTTCCAGCCTTCGGTAATAATTGGTCTTACTACGAGGACCCTGTGACAGTCGGCCTTCTCGTTGACACGGTCCGCGGCTGCGTGACTTTCCACATGAACGACATCGACGGTCCATGCCTGCCATTGGGCGGCTCAGACTGGAAGCAATCGGGCGTTTTTGTTTACGTCGCCGACTTTGTTGATTCGCCCAGTCTCGAAGAACCCCCCACGGAGGTTACCGTATCTACGCCGCCATGTCCGCCCTCACTACTGCGCGCGGCCGTTCCCAAGAGCGCCGATGAGCACACAGCTGACGCTTCGCTTACGCACGTTCGAGGCGACCACCACGTCCATGACATCGCCCGACGCGACCTCGCAAGAGCGTTTGATAGTTTCATGTAAGAAAACTGTGAATTTAGTACAAAACGCCCCTCGGGGGCCCTCAAGTGTTGAACGTTCGAACACGTGTTAGGCGGGCGGGGCGCCGGCGTCCTCCCCGGGCGGCGGGTTCGCCTCCGCGGCGGGCGCCTCGTCCCCCGCGGCGTCCTCGTCGTCGTCCGCGGGCGCCTCGTCGTCGTCGCCGTCCGCGGCGCGGTCGCCGTCGTCCGCGGCGCGGCCGCCGCCCGCGCGGACGACGCCGACGTCCCCCCCGCCGAGCTGGACGCCCGCGGCGACGCGGACGCCGTCGGCGACGACGACGACGGAGCTCGGCGACACGGGCGCGAGCTCGACGTCGCCCGGCGCGGCGCGGCGCGCGGCGCTCCTCGACGGCCGCCGGCTCCGGGACGGCGACCGCGCGCCCGGCGACGGCGGCCGCGGCGGCCGCGGGTGGACGCGGGGGATGGCGACCTGCTTGCACATGGGGCAGGAGTTGCGCCCCCGGAGCCAGGGGCCGATGCAGTCGCCGTGGAAGAGGTGGCCGCACCGCGGGAGCGCGACCTGGGCAGCACAAGAGAGATTCAACGTCGCTTCAACGTGAGTGTTTCGCGCGCGCGCGTTACGAAAAACACATCCACGCTTCGAGACCGTTCCGAGAGATGATCGCTCGTCGAAAAATCAGCCGAAACGAGTGGAAAATGGCCGAGATCGGAGACTTTGAAGTTGGGAATTTCGCTCTCTTGTCCTGCCCTGAGCGCGACGGCGGGCTCCGCGTCGTCGCCCGCGAGGTCCGAGAGGCAGATGGCGCAGATGTCGTCGTCGCCCGCGGCGCCGGCGACGCCCGCGTCGAGGCCCTCGCAGAGCGCGGCGACGGCGGCGTCGTAGGCCTCCGCGACGCGGCGCCGGACGTCGTCGCCGGGCGCGTCGCGGCGCGGCGGTGCGCCCGGCGCGTCGCGCCGCGGCGCGACGCGGCTCGCGACGCGCAGGTACAGGCGCCGCGCGGGGCCGAAGACGCGCGTCGCCGCCGTGGCCGTCAGCTGGGGCACGCGGCCCCGCCGCGGCGGGTCGCCGTCGCCCGCGGCGTCGCTCGCGTGCGCCTCGACGAGATCCTCCAAATCCGCGGCCGCGAGCCGGCTGAACGCCGTGGCCCCCCAGGGGTCGCCGCCGGCGAGGCCGCCGTCGCCGCCGCGGCCCCGAGGACCGCGGCGCCGCCGGCCGCCGCGCTGCGTCACGCAGAACGCGAGGCAGAGCGAGCTCACGACGATCTCGACGACCACCAACACCGCGAGCCAGGGGTGGTTCCGCACAGACTTGCCCACGCCCACGCGCCGCTTCCGCGTCCGCCGCGTCACGACGACCGTGGCCCGCCCGTCGCCGCGGCCGTCGTCGTAGCGGTCGTCGTCCCAGACCGCGGGCCTGGGCAGGACAAGGGTGATTCAACGTCGCTTCAACGTGAGTGTTTCGCGCGCGCGCGTTCCGGAAAAAGCATCCACGCTTCGAGACCGTTCCGAGAGATGATCGCTCGTCCAAAAATCAGCCGAAACGAGTAGAAAATGGCTGAGATATGAGCCTTTGAAGTTGGGAATTTCGCTCTCTTGTCCTGCCCTGCCGCGGGCGCGCGCGGGCACGGCGCCGTCGCGTTGCCGAAGCAGACGCCGCACGCGTCCGCGGCCTCGCCCCGCCCCCCGCAGACGCCGCACCGATCCACCTTGGCCAGCCCGTTGCAGACGCCCAGGCAGTCCGCGTAGGCGCAGCACACCGTCGCGCCCGGCGCGCCGCTCTTCTCGAGCTCGCCGCGGTACGCGCCGCCGCCGCAGACGCCCAGGCAGTCCGCGTCGTCGAAGGCGCAGCAGACCTCGCCGTCGTCGTAGGCGGGCCGGCTCCCGTTCGCCGACGAGCACGCGCCCGCGCAGTCCGAAGAGGCCCAGAAGTCGTCCGCGCCGCAGCCGCCGGCTGTTGAACACCCGCACGCCCCGCACGCGCCGCACGCGGACGCGTTGGTCGTCATGTCGCCGGCCGCGCAGCCCCCCGAAGCTGTAGATCCCGCGGCGACGACCGCGACGGTCGGGAAGTCGGCGACCAGCGCCCGCTCGCCGTCCGTCTCCGTCGCCGCGCCGCCGTCGCCCGCGCCGCCGTCGACGTCGCCCGCGGGCGCCGCGTAGCGGAGCTCGACGGTGACGACATCGCCGGCGACGAGCGCCGCCGGCAGCGCGCAGGAGACCTCGACGGCGCCGCCGGGCTCGCCGGTCTCGGCGAACGCCGCGCGCGCGCCGCCGACCGACGCGCCGCCCTTGAGGAACGCGCAGCGAAACTCGAAGGCCGGCTCGCGCGCGCACCCGAAGAAGGCCGCGCGCAGCGTCGCGTTGCCGCCCTCGGGCGCGACGGCGTCGCCGCACCATTTCTCGGGCACGGGGCAGGCGACGACGCGCGCGTTCGACCGCGGCGCCGCGCCCGCGTAGACGCCGGGCACCGTCGTCCCGAAGAGCTTCGCGCGGTCCGCCTGCGCGTCGCTCAGCGCGACGGCGTCCGACGCCGGGTCGAGGCGCAGCCCCACGAGCAGCGCCGCCGCGAGGTGGCCGTCCGCGCCGCGCAGCGCGCGGCTGTCGAGCACGCGCTCGTGCAGGATCTCGACGCGGCCGTCGCCGTGGAGCGTCGCGGCGAACCAGAGCCGCGCCTCCGGGTGGCCGAAGACGGACACGTTCTCGTAGCGCGCCGTCCAGGACCCGGGAGCCGCCGCGCCGTCGCCGCTCGCGACGCCCGGTTGGGCGGCGACGACGCGGCTCCGGCCGTCGTAGGACGGGTCCAGGTCCGTCACGAAGGCCGCGATCGCCGCGAACCAGGACCCGTTCGTCGTGCAGAGCGGGAACATGGCGAAGAACGCGCCACACGGCGGCGTCGGGCCGACGAAGATCGCGCCGTTCGCGTTCGCGTAGGCCTCGTAGCGCCGCCGGTCGAGGAAGGGGAACCCGAAGTCGAGCGACCGCCGCGACATGGGCGAGTCGTCGACGTCCGACACGCGCAGCACGTCGCTGGCGTTGGCAAAGGCCGCCGCGAAGGGCGCGGGGTCCCAGGGCTCCGTTCGAAGCAGGTAGCGCACGCTTTGTTTGGTGTCGGCATTGATCGTCGACGGGGTCGCGCGCGGGACGTGCGCGAGGGCGAGGAGGACGAGGGAGCCTGTCAGGGCAGGGCGACGTGATGCTGAAGCCATAGAATATGCCGAGTTTTGGTGCCTTTTTGTTTGAAGAGATGATGAAGCTTGTGGCAAAATCGATCGGGCCCAGGGCCGAGGAACGCGGCCAAGCCTGCGCCTTGGACGAGCCCAGCGACCAGACCGCCCGCCGCCAACGCAATGGCGCGCGGCGCGAGCGAGGTCATCGACCGGCGGTCGGCGACGGACGACGATGCCCCCGCTCCCGCGGACGAGGCGCCGTCCTGGCTGCCGAGCGCCGTCCTCTTCGCCGCGGGCGTCGCCATCCTGCTGCGGCCGCGGGACGCCGTCGCCGTCGTCGTGCTGCTGCTGAGCGCCGCGGCGTCGCCACCGGGCGTCGCCGCGACGAGCCGGCTCGCCGGCGCCGTGCTCGGGCACGAGGGCTTCAGACGGGGCCACACGGCCGCGTTCGCGGACGTGCTGCGCGACGCCCGCGTCGAGGCGGCGATGCGCGGCACGCTCCGCGGCGCGCTCGTCGACAGCGTCGTCGACGAGACGCTCCAGCGCAGCCTCGCGGTCATGATCCGCGAGGCCGTCGCGGACGCGATCAACGACGACAAGTTCATGGGCCTCTTCCGCAACGCGCTCAAGGACAGCCTCAAGGACCAGGACCTCCACCGCGCGGCCATCGAGGGGAGCCTCTCCGCGCTCAACCCGTTCAAGCGGCGCGGCGCGGCGGAGGACGACGCGACGTAAGGCGCCCCGGGGA